CACCTGAGGCGAATACAGGGTTGAGCCAACAGAACCGTGTACCCTGTGCTGCTGACCAAGGACGTCCCAAGAAGATATCTGAGCGTGTCTGCCATCGCTACGGAGAGGAGCAGCATGACAAGTATGCTGTGGAAGTTGGTAAGGATCCGCCACCCGGCCTGGACTTGCGTTTCTATCCGTTCATATTCGATCGCAGGCAGAATGGCGAGGACAGTGGAACTGCTCAGCTGGGAGATGTGGAGACGGAAGTAACTCTGACCGAACTCGAGGAAGACGCGGCGCGCAACCGGCCAAAGAGGAGAGGAGTGCGCTTGACGATGAACATGGAGACCGACGTCAGATACAACAATCGTTTACCGCCGAGAGGGCGGATACCTTGCATGTCGGATGGAAAACCTCCACTGATGAGTGGCATCATCACTCACGAGGAGAGGCAGCTACTGCTGAACGGCAAAGCTAGAGATCAGGCCGCCATTGCTGCCGCTGTGGAGAAGGTTGCCAATGAAATGCTGAACCCGAATGCCTCTAAGCCGGGCAACCTCCACCCTCCGAAGCTGAGAGTCAAGACTCCCGAGGAGGTAAAGGCAAGCAAGGCCGCTGCATCAAGCAAAACTCCGTCAGACTCTGAAAAGCAGCAACCAGCACAGCTAAGCGATGCGGAGCAACACTGGATACGCGAACAAACCCGATTCATAGAGGTCTCGACCGAGAAGAAACATAACGGACCCGTGATGCCCAAGTACTTGGCCGCCAATATCTCCTGGGAGAGAGTGTATAGTGAATCACCACGCACTGTCATCGCTATGAAACGGCGCCAGGATGACACCATCCAAAAGGTCCTGGATCAACGCCGCAGCATCCTCTCTAAGGTACAACTGATGGACTTGGATAACAAATAATGGCCCCCAGTGTTTGATGCCAATGTGCAGTGCAGATCAGTACTCCTCCTAACAAAAATGCTGTAGGATATTCTCAGTACACTGACAGTGCCTTGTAGCCCTGCCCTGCGTCAAGCTATTCTCCGCAATCATGCGCACCGTATTGCCTGAAATTAGTCCCCTGCCTAACATTATCGTCTCACATCCGGTCGAAATCTCTGGCTTGAAAGGTGATTGATGAATACTGACCACCCACCTGAGAACAACTGAAGAGCTATGGTGAGATGGGTGCAATCATGTACTACTTTATATGTACATCAGTCAGAAGGCCGCGGAACACTTTTCTGATTCCTGACTTTGACACCAGCTAACGAGGCACCACATATACCGGGGCAACAGGTATCTTCAGAAAGTTTTAAAGGTGTTCTGTGAGGTCACAGAGTTACCAAAAACCCCGGCTCCCCTGTCTGACCTACGCCCCTCGAATAGTCTGAAAACCAAGCCCTGTGGTGCTACATTGTATGTCTGGCTTTTTCTCTCCTCTGAGGCCAAAGTTTGTTGTGTGTCTGTCTCTCCTCCATAGATTCAGCTCCTGCCCTTGCGTAATGCTATGCCTCAAGAAGAGGTGCTAAGGCACGATAAGGACACGCGGATGCCAGTGTACGGAGCACCAGAAGTGACGCAGGAGGAGTGTGAGGTGCTGCCAGCAACACCTCCCTGGGATCACTTCCCTGCAGTGTATTTGCCTCCGGAAGCACGCGGTGTTAAGTGAGTATATCCGCTCAGTCTGGGTGCAAAGTCGTCGGCACACTCTCTGAGTGTTGAATGTGTCAGTACTAGCTGAAACGAATGATTGCGGAGTATACATTTGACACCTGCGTGGACATGACACTACCATTGGTGTTGTTATCACACCTCCATTCATTCATTGGCCCCGCCATCTCGTCACACCGCAAGTACAGTACTACCCACGTAAAGATCACCTTCACCCACAGTAGCAGTTGGTTGTCGTCGTATCTTTTGGCTCTTTCGGTTCTTTTATGCTGCAATACTAGTCTGTTTTTGGATGTGCCGGATGAAAGTAGTCTGCCCCTGCTTAGACTGAGTTAGAACTGTCTGGAAGAACTGCCTTTGTCACTGTGTAGCGGGACAGTGTACAGTGTACACTGTACACTGTACAGTGTACAGTGTAGATCAGTGCATGTGTTCGGCCGGTGTTAGAGCAAGGCATGCAGCACTTACGGACTGTGCTGTGCAGTGACTAGTAGTACATGTAGTTTGCTGCTAGCCGAAGGCTTAACCTAAGGAGCTGAAGTTTGTTTTATTCTGCTGGAGGCGGCTTGTGTAATCTTGAGCTTCAAGTCTGCTTTGTGTTAGTCAATGTGTACACGTGTTTTTGGAATACATTTTCTCTGCGGCATTGTGCAGTGTGTCCGAGCTACTTGCTGTCGGCCTGCCTCCTAGTCACCTCCATCCCAACCCATGGATGCCACCAATCTGTGTGCACTACGCCGCACTGCCGCACAGTATGAAAGCGTTTGATCATCTCCTGGGTATACAGTATCGTGACCAGTTGCCCATGGTCCCTGAACCGGCGTTAAACAATGTAAGCAGAACTGTCCGGGGTGTGAGCTGAACTGTGGGTGGTATTCCCTACGGATAGCCAGTTGCCTGTGTCCCTTCTTCTCTTTCTTTGTGCCTTTTTCTTCTCTGTCTTATCGTGGGGATGATGTCATTCTTAAAAAGTTCAGTGTAATATTCTCTACCTCTACTATGTACTTAAGCTGTTTCTATAGTATATTCCAAGGTGATTGTACTGCAAGTATCCTCTTTCCCAAATCAGAATTTTGCTCCCTGACAATATAGAAAAGTCAGTGTGACTACTTAGATGTTAGTTGCTCTGATTAGGACCTGGCCGACATTGCGTGGATAGGAATGAATCTGTGTAAAGCCGGCTGCACTGTCCTGTGGTGCCTTGTCTCTATGTTTAGCTGGTGGCTAGTTTAGTGGATCCTGAGGACACGCTGGAGGAGATTGGACAACGACTTACCACTGCTTTTGAAATGGTAAGATCATTGCCATCGCCCGGCTGTGTGAAACCTGGACTTCTGACTGGTTTTATCAAGCCACTGCAAGAAGGTAGTCATGCTTGTTCATTTTGCTGATGTAAAATATGATTAATACGATAAGACTTGTCAATAGTCAGGAATATTCTGTGTGCGGTTGTAGCCATTCTGAGGTTGTTGCAGCCGTGGTACGTGAATTGCTAAACATAATTTCGGTTCAATCTTAGTATTGTCATGGAGACAGCATGCTACCTGTCACCGTGTTGAATTGATTCTCCTATGTGGATAATATATTCATCATGAGAATGTTATGTTTCCTGTGCTTCGCTGTGTGGCTTTACAGTCTGCACAGCCTGCTCACTGGGCGCTATTTCACATTGCTGGACTCTTCTTCCGTGTGGTGGGCAATCCGTTCCACGCTTTGGAGTGCATGCGCCGTGCCGTTCACTTTGCACCGTTCGTCGCCCGCGATGTGCCCTTGCTAGGCATGGCCGAGATCCTACATCGTACCGGGCAAATGGCCGATGCTGTCGTCTTGCTGAGAGCTGCGTTGGGCACCCACCCCGAGCAGGTATGCATCGTCGGTTCAGTCTGTATTCGACGCGTGTGTTGTAGTGGATTGGATCATGTTTCACTGACAGGGTTAACGTTATGACACTGGATGAGGAGTTTCATACTAGACAGGATGAAAAGGTCGCTGGCAGCGTCGCTGGGTAGAGGTTATGCAGCTACGTCTAGGTAGCATTATCCGGAACTTATGGTAACATTGTGTCGTAACCTGCGAATGCAGTTACTTCATAGCCTATCAGCACCGTTTCGACGATAGAAAGCTCTTTTTAGCGGGAGAACGAAACGGTAAGATTCCAACTAGGGTTACCTCACACGTCTATCGTTGCGTCAGGAGTGAGGACTCAGAAGCCGAACTGCTAACCGTGTCTCGAAAACACACAAAAAACAGTAGACTCGCCCTCTACACCACTGTACACGCCGATCGTTGAAAATAGCGTGAACGGTAAAATGCTAACCATGTCTAAGAGCTTTCTATCGTCGAAACGGTACCAAACCGACGGTATTTTGGGTTTGGGGTACGAGTACCGTTGGATCTAGCGCGTGAACTGTAAAATGCCATGTCTACACACACAAAAAACGGTGCAGGCCTACCGCCGAAAATAGCGTGAACGGCAAAAATGCAAACGCAAGTTAGCAGCCGACCCAGCGAGCTGGCCCAACCTGCACGCATGCGCAAGTCACTTGGGCACGTGCCCTTCAAAATCCTTATATAATTACCTGCACTTTGGCGGTCAGGCCTAGTCAAAACGATATGGCCTCTGTGCTTCGTGTGCTGATTTGCTTTCCTCCAACCAAGAACCGTGTACGAATGTAGGAGCAGGTTGTACCGACATGCAGAGAGGTACTGATCTTAAGTCAGTCTTTTTTCTAGACATGGAGGAAAGAATTCTTCGTATAGTATTCAACGAATCATCTAATCGTGCACTTTCTTTTGTTTGCTTCTCTCAATACAGCCATTGATACACCTTGCCTTGGGAAATGCTTTGGCATCCAATGGCGAGTTCTTCCAGGCCAAGCTTCACCACTCGTACGTGTGCACCCGGCAGCCTCAGCTCGAAGCTGCTTGCCTTGCCGTTCGCTATGATGAATGCTACGCACGGAGGGAAGTGCCACAGAACATCGTCAATGCTGCGTTCAGGAAAAATGTAGTTCCGTCGTGCACCTTGACGAAATGTGAATTATCGGGTACGTGTTGTTTAGCCCAAGGGGCCGTTTGAAGCGTGAGACGATTTGTGCAAAGTCACATTTGCCTTTTACTGCACACTGTGGCAGTGCTGGCGGGCTGGCCTGGCTAAGAAGAGACACAACTAGTTACTTACCGGACTTTGTGTAGATGGTGCAGTGCGTAGTTTGGTTTAGTTGCTAGTCACTCTTTTGTGAATACCGTGTATGCCTGAATTTCCCTTGTGAACTCTTCAGACTCACCACTACGCCGTAAATACGATGTCATCTCGCAAGTGTCACTCAATCTTGCCAGCCCGGAGTTGCCGGAGATCGTGCACAGGAATGTGTCGGTGATGAAGCGCTACTTCAACGAGTTGCCGAATAGCGTTGTCAGTACGTCGCTGAAACGCCTTGCCGCTGTTCATCAAGAGCGAACCAAGATCCTAGCTGAGGTATTATGCGCCAGTGAACGTGGATGACAGTGTACAATGTGTTGTATTGTGCTCAGCTCTAGGTTTGTTATGTGTAGTGACTACTGCACTAGTAAGACAGTTTAAGACATGTCCTAAGCTTACTGAAAGTGTACCTCCCACACCATTCGCCTCGGCTTCTCGGCTAAAAGCCTGTTGCTAACCGTACTGGCTAAATCATGCAAGCACATCAATGACGCCGCCTTGGCGTATGCTTTCTATGTGCCATTATACCTCTGTATAGATACGAGAGATGCTGGCGAAGGATCAGCAGAGGATTGATGAATTGATGCGAGGTCCACCTGCACCAAGTATTAGTTCCAAAACTACACTCAAGCAAAATGATGAAGCAGCCGCCAAAGGAGATGACGCAGCTATCCTGTCAAAGTCACACCCGAAAACCTACCGCACCAAAGTTCCTTTGCCCAAGGTTACCAAGGAAGCCTGCAAGCAAGTTGAAGGTCTGAACCTCCGAGAACTTACTAGCACCTGGTTGTCTGTGGAAGTCAAGAAGATTATGTGAGTACTTCCAAAGTAGTTTGTTGTCTCTCTGTGTTCACACTCATGTGACATGTGATAAACAACTTCTTCTGTCCAAAAGAACAACTCAAAGCAACAGCTCCTCCGCTTGTGAAGACAACCCAAAATAGGGCGCTGACAGCCGACGCGTATGCATTCAGTCCTCACAGTGTCATTCGACACTCATTGGGACAGGACTAGATCACACTCATTGGGGGCAGGACTAGATCACACTCATTGGGGCAGGACTAGATCACACTCATTTGGGCAGGACTAGATCACACTCATTGGGGCAGGACTAGATCACACTCATTGGGGCAGGACTAGATCACACTCATTGGGGCAGGACTAGATCACACTCATTGGGGCATGAGTGTGATCCTGGGACGGAACTAGATCACCAGACTAGTAAGAGCGGAAAACCACGCATGTCATGCATGGTGACAGTGACCATGGTTACAGTGACCATGGTGACAGTGACCATGGTGACAGTGAAGCTAAGCTTCATGTATGCAACGGATCATGGCCTGGATGAATCAGTTCTGGACACTCTGGGTATTTTAAAGAGGTTGATAAACTGTGAAGATATCATGCTATGCAGCAGTCATGACACAAGGGGGTCGCAAGAGAAACATTCTTAATGAAACTTGTTCTGATGGTAACTTGGCTTACAGTGGGTTTTGACACATGCCGGGAGAACACTAGACTGTACATGTACATGTAGTGCTTCTAACCTAGCCAGTACAGTGGTACAGTGGTACAGTGGTACAGTGGTACAGTGGTACAGTGGTACAGTGGTACAGTGGTACAGTGGTACAGTGGTACAGTGGTACAGTGGTACAGTGGTACAGTGGTACAGTGGTACAGTGGTACAGTGGTACAGTGGTAGGTTTGTGCACGACAACCGTCAGCTTATCCAGGTGTATTTTTTGTATTGTATTTTATTATTTTACTTGGGCATTCCCAACAGACCCTCTAATGTCTGCTTACAGGGTGCCCAAGATGAGTGAATGCCGGGTGGCACCGAGTTCTATGGGATAATCAAGTTACTTCACGTAGATAGGCAAGGGCAAAGGTTTGGAGATACTAGTATTCTTTTTTGAATCATGCAGCATCTAAACTAAGACCATAGTAGTGGTGGCTGTGGTGACATTGTTCGGATTAAGAGAGAGGTTTGCCCCAAACAGGTGATTTTGCATATACAGTGCTGGCAACTGAAATCCGACCCCCAGGGCGGCGCGCCGCCCAGGGGGTCACCGCGCCGCCCGGGGGGTTGGATTTCAGTTGCCAGCACTGTAGTTATATTACATGTACCTAGCAGCATGCCACGTGAAACGGTAAAGCCGCAAATCATGGCTGAAACTTGAGATACTAAAAGCCTGATCTCCTTTGTACATGCAGTGCGAGCATTTGTCTACTGCTGAAGTCTGCACGGACGCGTGTGTTTTTATTTGTTAATGCTGCAGAATCGGTGACCACATTGATCTCTCTACGCCAGAAACGGATGGCAAGAAGAGACGAAAGGAGCCGTTTCCCATATGTCCAGAGGTTGCGAAATTCAGTTTGCACATGATGGATCACCTTCAGGTACTGGTACTGTGTGTATTCTCTTTGCGGGCCGGCATCATGTCATGATCACTTGCATGGCTCTTATCAATTTATGATCAGAACAGCAGTGCGTGATCAGTCCTGCAACACTAACAACTTACCAGTGTTCTGTGCATGCATGACACACTCATGCACAGTGTCCCCGATGGTATTCTCACGTACATTGACCCTTTGTCCTCGCCCACTTACTGAGGTGTGGTGAGCCCATAAGTGGGATCATTTCCAAGTCCACCCATAGGTTGGGGATTTCAGGGGGTGTCGGCCGTTGGGCGGTTCAATAGCCAATTGAGTCATCTTTCCAGGATTCCTTTTGAGTCCCACGACCAGTTATGGCAGTGAGCAAGTACAAGTGCATGTAAAAGCATGCGCAGGGGAACTGTGTCATCGCTTTTGGTTAGGCCACACCTTTTTTTCTATGTTTTGCGTCACCTTATTCGATGAAATCAACGAGGAAGGGCGAAAAACATGAAAAAAGCCATCCAAAAAAACGTGTACTCGTACAGTACGTGCATTGCAATTGTGTACAGTGGAGCTAAAGACCCGGCAATGTTAAATTTATATTAATTCACACATGCATACATGAATACATGAGTGTATTCATTCCAAAAGTGAATACAATGAATGCCGCAAAGACGTTTATTGCGCATGCAATCTCTACTGATTGGTAACAACTGGCCAAACTGTGTCAGCATTATCAGCTGGATGCCACGGAAAGCCACGCCTCTGCCATGCTTGTGGTCCAAACGCAGGCGGGATGATGATAATCAGCTTGCGTGACTTGCGGCCCAGCTTACACACACATGTACATGTACATGTATGTGAGTTGAATACAATCATGCGATAAATAGAACAAATGATGCCCACATAATAGTTTAAAAAAATCGTGTTCCAGTTTTGTTTTGTTTTTTGTTTTTTTGGAACTCTGGCTGTGAAATACACGCGCGCGGGGGACGCGAAACATACATAAAAAAACGGTGTGGCTTTAATATAGTGTTTAGCGATGCTAACAGTTAGTTTGATGCGTGTGTGTGTGTGTGCGTGTGTGTGTGTATGCGCGTGCGCGTGCGCACGTGTGTGTATGTGTTCATGTTATTGCAGGGTGTACAAGACACTGAAAGGTTTGAGCATGTCAACTTATCTGAACCAGGACTATCTCAGGTAGGAGGACTGCAGCTGAACTGTGTGTGACATGCATTGCATGTGTGAACACTGTAGACGTCTGGCTTTCAATTGATGAATGCTGGCTTGTGGGAAACTTTGTGAAGTACATGTAGCCCTGGCCAGTCTGGCAGTGACCACAACAATGGCGTGGATTCAGAACCAGTTTTTATTGCCTTTGCATAGGGCCGGGAATGGTAGGTGGGGGAAGGGGGTGAGGGACAAATGTGTCCCTCCCCTGCATCTTCCTGCTACGAAGCCGGAGGGAACACCGGCACATGCTAAGAAGAGCAGCTAGCTGCTCAGTAAAGGATACCATACCAGGCAATTCATAATATGGTGCTAACTTGGCACTCATGATGCAAATATGTCCGAGTGTTGTGTTTGGGATCATGATGGAGTCAATGCATACGAGAACTGATCATAACAGACAGGTCAGATGCATATTTCAGTTGTTGTTATAGCAGATTGTTGTTCCTGTAAACTAAATTTGGTACTGTGTATCACTTATTCTGTGTGCCCAGGTTATGTTTGGAATTGGCGGCCAGATGTTCTCCTTGTCATCGCTTGCTGGGCGTATCGACGATGCGTTACAATTGGTAGGTAACCTGGCTGTGTCACGTGTACAGTGCCGAGCGTGATCGCTTTGTCACTCTAAATCACAACTGTGCCTTAGGAACAGCTGCTATATCTCAGGATAGCTAGCTGCTTCAACCTTTTTTAGGTCTCGCCAGCCAAGCTCAGAGCTACCGGCCGACCTGACGGCGCAATGAAGTGAACAGTGAACGACAACGCACTCTACTAGTACTACGCAGTTACAAGCGAGTGTCCCTGGTTCGAGTCCTGGTGCCGGTGACACTCAGTTTTTTCTTCAGACTTTTCCCGTTTGCGTCTTTCCCTCTATTAGTGAATACTACACAGTTTTACTACTAGTATGACTACAGTCAACCTCCATCCTCCTACAGTTTACTCGACAATCAATATTTGATAGTATTACAGGTCTTCCCTCATTATAACGAGTCCGGTTAGTACATAAACCCCGTTAGTAAATAGAAATCTGAAATCCCCTGGCGAAACGTGGTCTATACAACTGTTTACATGTCCGGTTACAACATAATCCGTTAGTACATAAAATCCGTTATAACGACCCTTTGCCCAGGTCCCTGGAGTGCCAAACCCTCAGTATAAGATAATATTGACCATGCAGGACCAAGGCCAAAACATGTAGGATAAAGAAGAACGAGGAAACGTATGATGTCTATGTATTCGTGAATATGGACGATCCTTTGCATCCAAGGAAGAGTTCTGTTGGAGATTTTCAATTATCTTATAACGAGTTGAAGCATCGATAATTTATGTTGTATCGAGGGTAGCCCCGGTAAGTACGAAGTAGTGCCTATTTCACCTTTAGCTGCAAGTCCTGCTACAAGATAAGTCTCGTTATAAGATAACTTTTTCGATGGCCCAGAGATTATCTACTAAGGGGCCGTCCGTAAATATCGATGTTTTTTTAGAGACGATATTGGTGCTTCTCTCCCTTGACCCCCCTCCCTCCCCCCAGAAGACGCACATGTACATCTAGATCATGGAATCAATATTTTTGGATGCTCATGAAGTGCCCAGGATGTTGAGGGTCCGGTGTAGGCGTGAAAATCCCGCCGCACTCACGCAATAGCTGCATCGCCTGGGGGGAGCGAACCGGGTTGGCGCTGCAGTGCTCACAGCCATCGTGTGCTGGTGTAGACAAAGCGGCTACGCTCGGGCTTGAATTTTTTCAAATCCTTGTTCAGGCAGTGAAGACTGGAAATTCTTGTGGAGTTCGTCCGTGTTTGTTCGCACTGCCTCTACGTCTTGAAAAAGGTCTCCTGCAGGCATCGTTCGGCCGATTTCCACAATCAATAGCTCATTCTTTTGCTCTTGAAATTCGCCATGGGCGTACAGCTTCCAATTTTTGATTTTGTTCTCGTGTCGCGAGTTTTAGCTCCGCGAACGGAAGCTGGTTTCACATTTCTTGTATAGCCATTTAGACGTCCGCGTGCAGGGATCGCGTGCAGGGATCGGCGAAACTTCAGATATTTACATCGATATTTTTCTGATGCTCGAAAAGACGCACATGGCTCAAACCCCCTCCCCCCCAGACGCACCAATATCGTCTCTAAAAAAACATCGATATTTACGGACGGCCCCTAACGAGGGAGGACCTGTATTTGACTAAACCGTTGTTGGATCGAGGTTGTGCATCTGGTTGAATTTCACATGGAACCCTGTCATGTCCTGGACATGGACCATATGTATGTAGTGCGCATGCTCGCACGTGAGCTGGGTCTTTTTCGGATATGGAGTTTGAGACGAACTGAAATCTGTAATGGCCTCGAGTGTGTGTGTGATCGAGCTGGATGAGTCCGAGTAGAACCCACCTGGGGTAGGACACAACAACTGGCGACGAAGATATGGCTCGGATATCATCGCTTCAGCCGTTTACCGGCGGCGACTTTGAAGAGTTTGAGGAAAGACTTGAATTCTATTTCTTTGCCAATGATATTGGAACCGTGGCTGCTTCGGCCAATGCTGCAGACAAGTTGGCTGCCAGCAAGAAAAGGAAGGCTGTATTAGTGAGTTTGCTGTCTGCGGAAGTCTACTCGATTTTGAGGAGCCTCTGTCTGCCAGCGAAAGTAGCTGACAAGAAACTGTCGGAGATTTGCGATCTTTTGAGGAAGTATTTTCAACCTGCAATTTCGCAAGTTTCGGCGACGTTCAATTTCCATCAGTTGAAGCAGAAGGAAAATGAGTCGACTGCGGATTTCATCATTCGTCTGAAGAGATTGGCTGTGAGGTGTGAGTTTGCTGATCACCTCGATCGAGCGCTTCGAGACCAGTTTATTGCTGGCTTGAGCAGCTCATCCACTCGAAATTTCTTATTGACGAAAGAAGATACTTCGGCACAGTCGTTCAATGACATCGTCAAACTAGCTTTGACGCAGGAATCGGCTGCGCGCGCGGCCGTGCAGCTGACCTCTAGCTCTCAGCAGGAAGTGCACAAGGTGAATCACCGGCCAGTGGAATCGCGTTCGCAGGCGCAGTCTGGTGTTTCTCGTCAATCTCATCAATCTCGAGAGCAGAGATTGTGCTACCGCTGTGGGTCTACTCAACACTTGGCGGATAAGTGCAAACACAAGGCCACTGAGTGTCGTCACTGCCACAGGAAGGGGCACTTGGAGCGTGTTTGTCGGCAGAAATCTACGTCAGGCGCGTCGGTGCACAATGTTGTGACTGATGACGCAGGTGAGCATGAATCTGCTGATCTTGAGTGCATGCCAATGTTCCACATTTCGGATCAGGGCGAATTGAAGAGCAAATCTGTGCCCTCCTACAAATTGGAAATTGCTGTGAATGATGTTCCTGTTGTAATGGAAATCGACACGGGCAGTGGCATTTCAATCATTTCTGTCCATGATTTTGAGTCACTTGGGATGTCTCGTACAAATTTAACCAAACCGAGTGTACGCATGACCGGTTTTTCTGGGGCAGAAATCAAATGTATTGGTGAAGGGAAGTTCAATGTCAGCATTGATGGTGTGGAGAAACCAACACTACTCCGTGTGGTGGATAATGGTGGTCCGTCATTGTTGGGCAGGGATATGTTGTCCCAATTTACTCTACCGTGGAAACAGATTGTCAATGTCAATCATGTTCAAATGGATGGTAGGAGGAGAGCTCTCATTGAGGAATTTGAGGAGCTGTTCGATACGACTCAGGTTGGCAAGCTGAGGTCGGCTCAAATCACCCTGAGAGTGGATGATTCTGATCCAATTTTCCACAAGGCGCGTCCCGTACCGTTTTCTATCACGGAGAAGTACGAGGAGGCTTTGGAGAAATTGGAAGCAGAGGGAGTTATTCGCAAAGTTGAGCACTCCAAATGGGCATCGCCTACTGTGCCAGTACTGAAATCGGATGGTAGTATCCGAATTTGTGCTGATTACTCTCGCTCAATCAATGCCAAGTCTGATTTGGAGCACTACCCGCTACCTACTATTGAGGAAATGTTAGCGAAATTGTCGGGAGGAGATAAATTCACCAAATTGGATCTCTCCCAAGCCTATCACCAACTGGAGCTTGATCCAGCTTCTCGGCCGTACACGACTATCTCTACTCACAAGGGGTTGTATGAATACGTGAGATTGCCGTTTGGCATTCACTCGGCAGTGGCAATTTTCCAACGCACAATGGAATCCATATTGGCAGATCTGCCTGGGTGCATCGTCTATGTGGATGATATCCTGATTACTGGGAAGGATGAGGATGAACACCACAACAACCTGATCAGGGTACTACGTCGCCTACAGGAGGTCGGGATGAAGCTTAATCCCAGTAAGTTTCATTTCATGATGGATGAGATTTCCTACCTGGGTCACACGATTTCTAGTGCTGGTGTGGCTCCTACAGCGGATAAGATTGAGGCAATGCGGGACGCTAAGGCTCCTTCGAATGTTAACGAGCTTCAATCATTCATTGGAACGGCGAATTTCTTGCGACGGTTCATACCTCATTTCGCAACAATAATGGTACCTCTGTACAATCTGGTGAAGAAATCTGCTGAATGGCAATGGGACCCCGGAATTTCAGTGCGGCCAAGCTGTCCTGGCTTTGAATTTCGGCAAAGGAGGAGATAAGTGGGCCCCAGCCGTGGTCACGGCTGTTCTCAGTCCGATGACGTATCAGATACAAGTCGGTGATGCAATGTGGAAACGCCATCGCAACCAGCTCCGTCCTCGGCAAATCCCTCAGTTCGATGCAGGGGCGTCTGAGCAGAGTGGAGCAAGTTTAACAGCTCAGGTTCCGTCACAGCCGTCACTCAGCAACAACGACGCCAGTGTCACGGCAGCGGAGCTAGGCGCGCCGGTCTCAGCAACAACCGGTACTAGTGAGTCTGCGTCGGTTAGCACTTCACGTGCCAGCTACAGCAAGACGTCGTCACCGCAAGCTGAACGACGGTCAACCCGCGCTACTGTTCGACCAGTTCGTTTCAAGGATTGACGTTCAGAACACACAGTTCATATAGACCTACTCTAGTCTGTGGAGTTTTAATGATATATTTTGGACTCTGCTGGATATTGTATATAACTATATATTTATGGTGTATATATGGTGTATAGTGTATCATGAAATATTATGTCTCGGCAGTTGTGAGTTTTGTGATTGCATCTTGATATGTTTACTATTGCATAGTTCTAGATGCTTCGCCTCAACTAGTGAGGGGGAAATTGTCATGTCCTGGACATGGACCATATGTATGTAGTGCGCATGCTCGCACGTGAGCTGGGTCTTTTTCGGATATGGAGTTTGAGACGAACTGAAATCTGTAATGGCCTCGAGTGTGTGTGTGATCGAGCTGGATGAGTCCGAGTAGAACCCACCTGGGGTAGGACACAACAAACCCACTCAGGCCATGCCTATCATCGGCAACATTTATAGAGACTTCTGCTTGACTGGTCATGCGTTACAATGTAGTCCAAACATTTACAGTCTACTGTACATGTACCATATTCAAGTTTCCAGAGTGTAAGCCGCACCCAGATTTTTGTCATGAAAATACAGACATCTACTCTGTTTATCACAGTCAATTTTACCATTGTACTAGAAGCCACGTTGACTTTTTTTGTGGTGAATTGCTGTGTTTAAAGTGCGGCTTATGCTCCGGAAATACGGTTGTTCTCCTGTCCCGTCATGGTGATGTACAAATAGGCTGCGGCTCTGCTCATTACTGTGCAGACTTGACAATGGCTCCTCTTGCAGGGCGGCGGACTGTCCATTTGCCTATGACCGAGCTGTCAAGCTCTATTTATTTTTCAGGCCCTATCCCAGGCTACCAGTATCAATATTTAAAATGACATCAGCTGCATGAAAGTAGTACACGTGGCGCGTTGGCAGCATGAAAACTGTACAATCACAGAGGACCATCCATTCTAATCAGGTTCCACACTGTGCCGTTTTGTCCTGTTTTTAATGCCAGAACACAACATCCTGGGTGCTTCACAACTTGGCAGGGCTGGTCTGGCGACTGAAGGGCAGAGCAGACCTGGCCATCCGCTGTCTGCGCCAAGCGTTGCACTTCTCACCGCAGGGCAGCCGTGACATTGGTCTGGTTAGCTTGGCCAACGTCATGGCTAGGAGTCGCTCGTTCCGTGACGCTCTGATCCTGATGGGCATGGCGATGGAGGTGAGCTGGATTGGTACCATGTATGCTGTGCGCATGTGCGTCCGTGTGTTGATGTGTGTGTGTGCGTGCGGGTATGTGCATGCGTGCATGTACATTATGGGAAGATCACCATACCCATACAGAGACATCATGCGACAAGAAACCTGTGCACGTCTGTACATCTGTATCACGAGTTTGTGACATAGTGCATGCTAGTGACTACAGTGTAGATCTACATGTGACTGCTTTGTAATCTACATCAGTGTTTTGTATCCTGTACTGATTGTTTCACTCTGATACTGGTTTAACCCTTCGTGTGACAGTATCTGAAGCGACACCAGCAGCTGGTCTGTCCCATCGAGGGTCGGTCATATTTGCCACTTCATGCCAGTTGGTTACAAATACAATGCCACGAGCAGCTGCATTCTCTACTGCAAAGAACACGCCATCCTCCACGTGCATAGTGAGGTTACTCACCTTTAACTGACAATTCCATTGATGCCTGGTTTTTGATTTTTCTTCAGATCTCACCGAATTTCGTGGTACATCACTTTACCATCGCGAATATCTTGGCTGCGACGGTAAGAGCTTGCCTTGGTGTGGACTGTACCAGCCAGTTGATGCAGTGAACACAATACAATACGTGTAGCGTACCTCATACCCCTGCTACCACACTTTCCTGACCCGAATACTGGGAATAGCGAGGAAGGTGCTCGAAAATAGTAGTAAATATACAGAGTACATTAGAACTTTATTGGGAAACCATACGGACTGACGAAATTGATTGTGTCCTGAATGCCGGCGTGTCTGTTAGGGCCTAGGGGGTGTCCGCTAAGGGAGGTCCGCCTATAATCAGGCGCGTAGCACCGCCGTTGGAGGTGGTCCGGCAGGAAGGGGTCCAGAGGTCTCCGCCGTGAAAAATTTGAAATTAGGGTGCATAATCCTGCATTCTGGGCAATTTTGGCCGTGGTCGGGTGAAAACGTGGTCCGGCGTACGAGCCGGACCGGGTGCTACACCCCTGATAATTAATGTTGGGTGCCTGTTGCATTCAATATCCTAGCATGGACGGTGTGCTGTGCATTGGTGTGTTGTACACACTTGAGTGTGGAAAGCCGTTGTCATAGTGCGTGGAGTAGCTGGTTGTTGATCGGATACCCTGCTGGCCTGTGCATGAGAGGCTCCTGCAGTCAACGGCAGGCAGAGCCACTGCACGCACATTGACCTCCTCAGTGCCGCATGGGGTGGGGTTGTTTTGAAGTATGTGTTCGTGCTGGTTAGTGAACACCCATGCCCCGGGCTGTTCGATAACATAGCCTATAAAGTGTCCTGGTTGAACACTTCCTGCGCATGCCTTGAATTGCTTTCACCGTGTCTTCTTTTACTTGCTCCTGCCCCAGGGAAACTACAAGGAAGCAGAATTCTTCTACCGCAATACGCTGAGCTATCAATCGGATTTTCAACCTGCGTCGCAGCGGCTGATGGCAGCGAGGTGCAGACGTCAATTTCCCACTGCATCCGACCACCACCAGCAACAGCAGCAGCTTACCACAGATATTGTGGACAAGATAGCCTAACAAACAACGTCATTACACAACAGACAAATTGACTAGGCTGCAGTGGCAATTTTTCATTATGCAGTGTTCAACTGCACTTCTCAAGCATGATGATAATCGTGTCTGGTCTTACTGCAAGTTTTGAGTTGTGAGTCCTGTACGAGCCGTTGTCACCCTTTCACTGTGCACTCTCATCATATCGTCTTAGCTACTCAAATATTTATGGATTGGATCTTTTACAGGGAACCACAGAGTTGAAACAAGAGTTTCTCCAAGTCGCATATCTCCGTGTACGTGACCGTGGAAGCTCACCGTCTTTCTTTGGTGAAGCCTCTAAGCTGGCTCCGGGAAGTAAGGGTCTGGTCGGAGTAAGGGGCAATATGTTGGAGCTTCGACGTTTTGAAATTCTACAGTGCGGCTGCACACAGCCACACAAGAAAGTTGCAGTGGCAGAAGGGCGAAATGCAAGTGAAGAAACACTAAAAATAAAATGAGCTAAAAATTTGACAAAGAGAACGGGATAACTCTCTAAACGGTAAGCTAAAAAATAACCCGAAGCTAAAAATGAACTCGACCTACCTACACACATACACAAGAGTAACATAACCTATTCCAGATAGGATGGAGAGTAATAATACACGTTGCGGAACATGACGGCTAAACGGGATGATGGACAAAGCATCGGAACTAGTAAAATGCTGACACCACAGTAAGCGCTGACAGCAGTTATGAGCTGAAGCTAAGAGGACATGAGGTCCACCGCACACGTCCTAACAGCATGAGTGGACACTCAGCCTGGGCAACCAGGCATGCGCATTTAGATACTCATGGCCGCAGATACAGTTCAGATGAGGAAATATTGATGTCCAAGTTTGACGCAACACAACAGCTGCTGGAGAAACTCTGGCCTGACAGTTTACTGATGTCAGGATACATGTAGAATAATGTCTGCTCTACAGACCTGTATTAATACTCCGAATAACCTGAATTACAACTGGTGGCTCGGAATAATCGAAGCAGCTACGCGTACTGCATGAAATACATGGGTGAGCAGTAAACACAGCAAATTGCGAGTTTGTTGCTTGGAGTAAGTAATGCAGCATTAGGTTCAGATTTGTAGGTCAACTTTACGCAAGTGCTTGAAAGTGCATCATTCGTCAATCAACGCCAGAAGGAAGCGTTTGTAGTTACCACTACAGTCACCCTGTTGCAAAGAGAGCAATGTACAACAAGTAGACATACATATATCTTGATATCTGTAAGATCGAGAGCAATGTACAAAAGTAGAGATAAATATATCTTGATATTTGAAATTATTCGTAAGGTCGAGAGTTGAAACTTCGAAACTTGCGCTTGCTGTGACTCTATACAGGCTGGTGGGATGCAGCCCTCAATGGAACCCACACACTTCATGTACAAACTAGCACGTGGGGAGCCCCAGGACTCAAACTAGGGGCTCTCGCTTATGGCCAGCAATGCTCTACCACTAAGCTATGGTGTAGTCGCCATACAAGCAGCACCCGTTCAACTATGTTACTTATTCGTCAGACTTCGAAACTCACGCTTCCTGTGTCACAAAAATATATTTATTTGCTGTTTTTCTTTTCTCTTACAACCCAAATATATGTCAGGAAGGGGTAATGTTGCCAGCTAAGCTCTTTCCTTATCAAAGTACTGTTTTACAAAAGATGGGTGTTTTTTTGGTACTGGACAGCCATCTCTATCTAAATCGATAATTGGAAGAATTGTAGGTGTTTATTGCTGCTGTCTTGCACGTCTACACAACTTTAGTGGCTCCAAGACATCCAGGAACCACCCCTATCACCCTCCCCCCTCCCCCCCCCCCCCTCCACACACACATGTAAATGCACACACTTACATAAGTTACAAACAACACTGACCCATCATTGCGAGGACAAATCTCCAGATAAAAACAGTCACTCACCTCAATGTCGGCCTTCAGTGTCTTGCCATACGTTTGCTGATAGGACTGCTTGATCTCGACCATGTCGACTTCACAACGACTAACGACGCATCGGATCAACAGGTCGTCATTCGTACCCATGCCCTTGTAACGACAAAACACACAAGAAATGCGAAATAGACAGCAATTGTCATCAGGTCTGCCAGTGACACATCGGCTGGCAGAGCGGGCAGTAGCAGAAGTATCCTACCGAAGGGTGAGACTAGGTCCTGGCGTCTTGCACATAGGGAACTGAGCTGGCGAAGTCTCAATGGGATTGAAGCAGTCCTGATCCCCAAACAGGTGGCAAGCTACCTTGGCGGCACAGACGGTACTGTACAACATACATTTTTTTACAGATAAGTGCAATGCATGGATAGTATACCGTCGTCGAATCCGATACAAAGCACAGAGAGTACTACCACAGTAACAGATACATGTACTATGCAGACTTCTCTCTCTACACGTGCTCAGAAGGAACTACGGCTAGCCAGAAAACAGTATACATGTACCACACTGTGGCCGTCAAGTAACTACCACACATCATGCACAATGCATTTCAATTTTCGAGCACCAATAATCTTTCGAGAGCTGACTACAGGTTAGCGTCAACAAACTTGCACAGATCATGCTGCTGTAGGCAAGCAAGCATAACTAGTAAAGTACCTTCATAGACGTGTACAGTAGCTCTGCAAAGTAGGCCTGGGTATCTCGTGCGCATTTTGCTGCACAGACAGAAACAATAAAACATGCAGAAAACCAAAATGGAACGCATTGTCTGTGCAAAGGGATATGCCATGCACCGTTTGCTGCAAATCCATGTCGCCAACTCAAACTTGTTTTACATGACAAACTACAATGTAGGTTTCGCTGTGGAACTGTGTAGCAGGAAACTGAGTTAGGGGCGTCAGAAGGCATTTAGGGTTTAGGGTGGTACCGTCAGCAATCAGAGGCGTCCAGGGAAGGGGGGCTCTCCACTGAATTTAGAGCAAAATCATCGCGTTTCATTACTTTTCACGGAGGTACTGGCTGCAAAAGTGGTACGGTCAATACCGTAGTGACTGTAGCGTATCCGATGCCCTAGAACCCTCAAACTACAAACCATTTGGAAATAATGAACAAATTGACCTACCAATCGCAGTCAGCAAAGAGCAGAAATCTCCAGATGTTTCACTATCAATGGCTTGCTCCATTGTTTTCTTGGACATCTGAAAGACAGGGAGGGAGGGAAGCAAGGAGAGAGAAGAAAGACATGAAAGAGGTCCAACTGCACCACAGATGCAGGACAAAACCAGCTAGCTGGTGGTGCAACTGATGATAGACAATCAGGAAAGAAACAACTGAAGATAAGCACTGACGTAGATTCTGAATGCGCAATATAATCTCCATATCATACTGTAGACAATAGACTGGACAGACAGTGGACGCCAACGTGAGAATGGGTCCAGGTGGGGCCTCGTTGCGTAGAAGAAAGGGTATTCGTTCCAGGGCCGGGTCTCACCCTGTACGTCGTCATTCATACTTCTAACAGTGCGACTGGACACTGACAAGAGAAGTACATGTGCTCTGCTAACCTTGTCATACTCGTCAAATGTAGCACGGAGGTGGGCACTGCTCCTCGTCGAGAACACCTGCACAAACCTGGAAGAAGATGGGAACAAGACACGAAAAGATGCTACGAGCTACACACCTGACAGACAGCTACATACCATGCGCGCAGACATGGCAACCATGCATACGCAGTGCTTCACCAAACGCAGAGGCAGTTCTGTAGGGCTTCCAGGGGATGAACGTGTTCACTAGGTCCGATAAATACGATCAACACCAATTGCATAAACATACATGTAGGGTTAAACAGTGTTCTAGATGGGACCTAACGAAAACATGACATACGAACAGCAAACGACCACTTACTTTGCCTCGTTGGTTCCTCTTTTACCTTCGCCAGCTGCATAAAGTGCCTATAGCACAGTACACAGCAACACAGTACAGATGTACTTGTACCAGGATTGTCTTTGACTATGCTTGTAGTAGCTGTTGTGTTAGCTTTACACAAATACTTCAGTGCTCACACCCAAGCAATTCCCGAAGAAGAGTTCATTCGTATGGACATGACCTGGAACATATCAGAACTGCAGCTACAGTAGTGTGACAGCACTTTGAAAGACATGACATACCTGTGCATCCTCCCTTGCCGCAGTCAGGTCAATTTTGCCATCGTCTGACCGCTTCACCTGTTCCACAACACATGCACACAGACAAGGTACCTCGTTTGCAGTGCCAATTGCAAGCAGTGCTACGCCGGACCATGGATTGCAATAGCCAGATGGCACCAAATGCGCAGCTACAACTTGGTGTGAAGCACCCAGAGGGATGAGAGAGGCTCACAATCCACCATGCCAGCACATGAGCTGTCCGCATAAAGCGAAAAGCCAGAGAAGAAACCTATAGATTGTGATGTGCCCCATCACCACCTGTGACCTCCACCCCATGGCCAAAACCCAACTACAGACATTTCAGAACTGTTTAACGAGGACTAAAGTCAAGTGAAGAGTACAGCAGCCCATGACAAAACTCTGCAACATGCTCACCGTCAAGCGGGCAGCTAGCAATGCCTTGAAGTCGCCAGACGTCTCGGATTTCATCTCCTTCAGGAGGTCCTTTCCATACACTGGAGGCAAACAGCAGAACATGCAAATCACACCAGTTCACTCTCAACCAAAATACATGTAGCGTCGTGAGCCGAAGACACAGAGAGTAGATTTCCAATACTTTTTTGGGGAAAGCTGTTTCCTTTTGCTGACGAGCTCTGGGGGTAGAGCACCCTTCGACTTGAGCATAATAGTTTTATTGTTCAACTCTAGAACTTCACTCTGGAACTTCTTCATAATTATTTCATTAGTGATGTTTAGCAATGGTAAGAGACAAGCAACTGACCGGGTGGAAGTTAATAACCTCCTTTTAAATCATGCACGTAACCCGAAGTAACAGCACCAATCCAGAGTGTAGAATTGCCAAAGCAGTAGCTGGTGCTGGAAACCACATTTGAGGATTGTAATAAGGAAGTGCAGGCAGTTCCAACATCTACAGAAAATTTAACTTTTGCGAACTCTCTAGACTCTAGGCAGTGACACAGACTGATATCTACTATGCTGACTAGCTACAGTGCTGCCCAATGAAATCCGATCGTGTGAGCCCAGTTTGCGCCCCACATCAGTTCTCGCAGGCCTAGGGCTGCACAGCTCCCGGCGTGGCATTGCCTCGCTTGATCGGATTTCATTGAGCACCACTGCAGTGTACATATACCTGAATCGCATAGCCACACTACATGCAGTACCAGTAGTTTCTGACAATGAAATGAGACAACAGTGAGTTAGCACACAGCATGGAAATAGCACGTAACTTACTTTGCTGGAAGCACTGTTGCACACCTTCTAGGTGAGACGATGAGCGGGATGCCATGATCTCAATGAGTACTGCTTCATCCGTACCCAAGCCCTGTGGCAAACGGTGTGCGTATACAGTGTATGTACACAGACATAGAGAAAACTCGGAAACATTATTGAATGTTGGGCACAACGTAGTTTTTAAATTCTTTTTCCTCAGCAACTCAATACAATGTACATGTATTGCACTTCCTCCAGAAACAAAAAAACTCTGTGACTTCAATCTAACCATCTGGTGAATTGAGCTTTGAAGAATCGAGCAATGAGAGGTGGGAGTTCACTACGCTTGGATCTCTGCGTCTCCTTTCCCAAGTGTGCTTATCATGCAGTTGTAAGTCTCTCCGCATATCCACCTAAAACGTAATTTAAAAACATGTCCACTGACCTTCATTGCTTTGCGTAGCAGGTATGCATCATATTCGTACGCAGTCTTGACCAACGCCAAGGCAACATCCTCCATGCTGCCACGCAGCTCGCCCTCAAGTTCATTTGGTAGATCCTGAAATCAAATTCACAAAAAAAGGCATTGCATAGTGGAAGTCTGAAGACGCACACGCGCCGCAGGGATCAAGAAAGTGTACCCAGTATCCGAGGTACTTCTTAACCCTTTAAGAGCCGCCCCATACTTGAATGCGTCGTAAACGACGCATTCAAATGCAAAACTTCAAAATATCGTAACTCAGTCCAATCTCGCTCAAATCCAGTGATCGAAATATCCATGGCGAAGAGAAAACTCTCACCTGTCGGGAGAAACAATCCGCGAAGCGCTGCGAGCAACGGTTCCTGAGATAAATCACTCGTAAGTTGAGCCGCGATCGCGGCAATTTCAAAAGCGCGCAGTGCGACTTTAGTATTGAGAATTTTGAGACTTTTCGTCAAGCTGGTTTACTCGAATTTGCGCGGGTTTCACTGTTGATATTGTCAAGAGTACACAGCGAGAAAATTGGAACTCCACGATCGAGTAAAATGAAATATCTGGAGCGGGACGCATTTGGGGCATTTTTCGTACTGTCGCTGCGATCTAGCGCTGGATAGACGGTGTGCTGGCTATCATGATCAACCTCATTCTCTTCCTCTCGCGGAGACCTTTCCAGGAAGCCCTAGATTGTGAGGATTGAGTGAGTAGAACTGAAGCTATGATCCAAGGAACACGAAAAAATGCAGAATTTTGAAATTTTCCTGTGGCTCTTAAAGGGTTAACTGAACATACTTCAATGTTGAGCAACACACACCTGTGGCATGCATGGACAATGTCCTTGATAAGCAAGGGTATGTCTTCTTCGGGTACGTACTAGGCGAGCGCCACTAAACAGTGTAAAGCACCTAGCAAAGCATGTGGGGCGGCTCTAACTTCCAGACCACCAGGCCCAAAGCAGATCGCATGGAGGCCTCGGAAATAAACAATGACTGTACGCGGCAAGGCGAGATTGCAACTGCCGATGTTGTCCCAGATCACTATCATTGTCTCTCTCAGAGTCTCTGCTCCTATCCCAGCCCACAGTCACGGTACCTTGCCATGTGCCGCTTTGAATCTTTTACAGATCTCTTGCCGCTGGTCGTTGGACCGATAGGCTAGCACATTGATGATTGCCTTGTCATCACAACCTGAACACAACAGAAGTTGGCAATGCAGGGAAATGAAATAATGAGAATGAGTCAAAGACAGTCACACGCTTAGTTAACTTGCATGTTGCCATTTTCAAGATGTAGCAAACCCAATTCCATGTCCATTGCTGGACATGTATATAAAAATGACCCAGTACCGTGAACTGTTTTTGTTCATAGAACAGAATAGCAGGTTGTAGCGGTGAATGTGAATGCAGCCATGCAGCAATACGCGGCATGGTTAGTTATACTATGATGCATGACGTATTGCTCACATGGGGCGAGTGCATTTCTGCCATAAGATCTAAATAAGATGAAGACTCATTCTCGTGAAAATTGGTGTTCACTATCAATAACTACCGGTGCATGCATCAGTTAAATTTATCTGACGGGCACTTTTCTGTATGCTAGTGTCCACGTGTAACGATCGTGACAGCCCCAGAGGCTCGTGGTAAGTTGCCATGGCATGGGTTCTTGGTATGAGGAGCAACCCAATTGAGCACTGGCATCCATGAGTGACTGTTGTTATGACTTATGACTCCGTTCTGGTCATGATCTAGCCTCCATGCGCAAGTACGCTACTAGTTATATCTAGCTGATAGTAATGGCAAAACAAAGGCTAATATTAGGAGCCGATGGTAGCATGCTATGAAATGCTTTAGCAGTTATTCACAATATCGCCTACTCAGTATTTCCAAAAAAGAAAATTCGAAAAAAGATCATTACAGTGTACATGTATAATATACAATTCTTCAGACGCATGACATACCCATTCCCTTCATGGCTTTTCGCAACGCCTCGACGTCGGCTGCAACGTCAAAGCTGGATGACGGGAGCACGGTCGGGTGAACACCCTGCACAACGGGACAATAAAGAATATGCAGAGACCAGTAAGAAACAGCACACGGGGTGAACACCCTTCACGATGGGACAATACAGGATATGCAGAGCTCCGTAAGAAACAGCACACAGTGCCAGTGGAATGACGAGCCTAATGACCATGCCTAGAGCAGCATACCACGCTGAAAGCGATAACCGGTACGTTATCTACAGATATACATGTACAGTGACGTGGGTTCAAGGTTTGCCAACGCATTCATTCAAACGCAAGCTGCACAGAATGCTCTTGATGAGCGGCATGGTATGATTATACACATGCCCTGCATCCTGCGAATAGTGCACTGATAGAATCCGAGCATCTCCGCACAGGGAGATAAAAAATTCACGGTCGTAGAATCGCTAGTTGTGCCTGCCCTGGCGCTCATGATAATAGCATGATATTATTAGCTAGTGATTCTACGGCAGTGCATTTTCTTATTCAGTACCGCATCATTGACTACAATGAGCACATTGGGGGGGGGGGGGGGGATTGGTGGGGGTCTCTTACCCTGACAGGGACGGTGACATGGACAGGCTCTGGTTTAGGTGGCGGTGCTGCTGGCTCTGGCGCCGGTACAGCTTTCGGTGTTGCTGCAACTTGCCTTGCCGGTTTCTACAAACAAAACATGCAATAGCTGGCTTAGGAAATAAAAACCAAATGACATGATCAAAGCAATAGTATTGAAATTATCATTCAGCATGGCGCAGTTGTAGTGTATGTGCTGATGATACACTCATGGACATTTCTTACGTCATCATTATTGTACTGACGTCACACCATGCGCAGATCATTTTAGTATGTCTGCCTTTTTTGTATTGACACACGTGTCTCCTTGTTCTTGTTCCGTTGACATAATTTACTTGCGATTGTAGTTGGTCTTCTTCTAGTGTCCATGTAATCGATCACAGAATAAACCGAACCCCGTCTCTAGCTGAGACACTACAGCAGTACTGTAGGAGCATGTTAATTAAATTCAGATGCGCTATCTCTCCCTCCCTCCCTCCCTCCCTCCCTCCCTCCCTCCCTCCCTCCCTCCCTCCCTCTCTCTCTCTCTCTCTCTCTCTCTCTCTCTCTCTCTCTCTCTCTCTCTGGTTCAGCTCACCGGATCGGCAGCTTTTGGTGCAGGTGCTGGTTCCTGTCGACTTGCCCTCGAGCTGGATCTTGAGCCAGCACTTGAGTCCCTTGGTGGTTGCTGGGTTTTGGCTTTAGGTGCTGCTTGCTGTTTCGATCTGCTAGAATCAGTGGTGTCTGATGATGACTTAGATCCAAAAATTCCATCAAATAATCCACCGCCACTTTTCTCTGGCTTTGATTTCTGTAACACAAAGAACATTTTGCAATCGATCAGAGAACTACAGCCAAGATGATTGAAGTACGAAGCGAAACATGTTCAAACGAGACGCCCAGTTAACAGGTGTGCCAAACATGAAGATATCAACAAATAAGTCAAATATGTTTAGCAATATAAAGCACTAAAAGCCTCTCATATGCAGATGGTTGACGTACAGCCGGAATTGTTCTCTGGCATGAAAGGAATTCTTTGATCACAGTAAGACTACATGTGCTGCCAAGTGCGGACTGGACACACCTCACATGAACATTGGTAGGCTTCTGACAACCACAGTATGAATTCTCATCATGTATTGAAATTCAGAATCAATCAATGAACACTTTTGAAATACACGAATGCAGTCGCTGGCATTGAAAGCTCAATATTACAGTACTGAATCATAAACAAGTGATGTGCTTCACTTCTCGGAGAGTGCAGCAGTGAATCATGCGCTTGAAGGCAGGCACAATGCCAGCAGGACCAGGCAGCATGAAAAAAAAGTAATACCATACACTCATACAGTGAAGTGGACAAGGCTTTCTCACCTCGACTGGCTTAGATGCCGCTGGCTTAGACGCTGGTGCTGTGCGCTGTGTTCCGCGTCCAGACGCGGGCGCATGCCTACCTCCACCACCTCCAGCGGCAGGAGGAACCGCAGGACCAGGTCCACCCTTCGGCAGATTAAGTTCTCCAGCTCCACCGCCATCAGCGCCACCTTTCCATTTGATTATTCCCCTGGTCAAGGAAGGAAAAGGCAACAACCGACTCAAAACACAAGTAGTATTCTCAGGGAACAATATTGCACGAAAAGACAAACATAGGTAGCACCAAACTTATAGTATATTGAAAGACTCAAGTGAAGGTAAGACTACAGAAACAACGGAAGCAAAGACTCTGCAACAACTGAGCTGGGGAACTGATATGACAGACGGATCTTCAGTCCATTTCAAAACTATAGACGCGCAGTGTTTTTGAAATATTTCAAATTTGGCTGGAACTTTTTGAGAATAGTTTTCGGAATATTGCTCAGGTCCGCTCCACGATTATTCTCATATAGTTTCTAAACGATTGGATAACAGACGCCCAATTTGGAAAATTTTATGCACAAAGTGATCACAGATTTTATGTGGTATAGATGCTGGCATAACGGTTTTTGCCTTGGTACGCGTCTATAGTTTTGAAATGGACTGTATATACGGTACGAGATTGCCAGTTACAGCTCAAAGCGCTAGCTAGCGATTTCTAAATGAAAGCAAGGGATCTGATGGTGCCAGCAATGCATAGTGCAATACATAGTAATACATAGTGATTTGTGTAGGGGAAAGTCCGTCTACTACATGCACTTTACTCATGTGATCGATTCTGCCCTCCTTTAGGGCAGAATTGAAAGATGGCACCCTACAGAAAACCACCTGGAGGTAAAAATTGATGGGTTTATCACGAAATAATCAGGAGATGGCAGTGACACTGTTACTGGCAACATACATGTACAGACATAGACCAACGATGAGGAGACCTGAAAAAAAAACTGTGCATGTAGCGAAGAATCGCCGAAGACCTTCAGGGCATAAGGTAGCATGCACTTGTTAACGCACGCAGCTCGCACACTAAATACATGCAATACAGGGCTTTGATAAAGACAGACCATTGATAGAACATCCAGAAGACACAAAGACCTAAGCTTACTCATCGATGAGTAAAACCTGCTGCGCAAATACAGCAAGCCTGCGCTGAACCTCATTTTCCAGTTCCGCCTTCGGTGTACGCGCATGAGAATTAACGTAATCGGTGATCGACTTCATAGTTTCAACCTATGCATCAACCACAAAACCAGCGTACGACAAACAATAGCATTTCCAACACCTATAACAGTACGAGTGGTCGTGGGGCAAGATACGATGAGATACGTGCATAACCCCATGACTGAAAGCACAACAATATTTCAATTTTACTTTTCATGGTATCTCTATTTTTTCACATCTATGTGACTTTATCTTGCCCGTAAACGAGGCCGTTACCCCCCCCCCCCCCCAAAAAAAGAAAAACCCCAATATAGTGCACATATGATACGGTCATACCGTACATGTACACATTAGCGTGAACGTACAGGCACTAACGAAACAAAGCACATGATCATAGGCAGCTTTCCTCTTACACGAAGCAAGTAGATGAGCTTGAGCTTGTGCACGTCATCCTCGCCACCCGATAACTGGCTAAAGAGCAGGCCCAGGATACGCATACCAGCCAGGTATTCGGCAGCCTCCTTCCCTCCCTTGGTGTCAGATGCCCAGGCATAGTCGGCAAACTGGGCAAGGAGAAATCAAAACAATGATACAAGAACACAAATCCACACGTGCTGTGACTGCTGTCAACAGTGTGCAACATGCCGTCAACTCAAGGCTGAAGACACATCTCCCCGGTGCATCTCTGGTGGCCGGTGGCACTACCCGGCTTCTAATAGGCGATTCACACGACAGGCAAATCCACGTTCGTCAGGCGCCCGCAGGAAGTGAAACGGGAGTCCGCAGTTCGCACGGCCACGGGTATTCGGTGAGTATACGGCGTTACTGTGGTCATTTGGAATGAGTACCCAAAGGCAAAGGCCAAACAACCAGGGTTCAAGACTACCGTACGATAGTACGACCTCACAGGCGCGTTACTGTAAAAGTGCCCGCAGATGGGCAAAAAGCCCATGGACACTGTTGATTCCCACGGACAAATTTTGGTCGCCCGCAGGAATATCTCCATGGTGATTTTCCTGTGAACGTGGATTTGCCTGTCGTGTGAATCGTCTATAAGTGACATACACGTAGAAAAACAGGTACAATGCCATGCATGTACACACACATACACACACATAATGTAAATGTACATGCGTGGTGTAGTGCCAAAGTGTGGAGGGTGGTGTCAACGGTACGGTTCATGCAACACTATACAGTCCAGAGTGCATGAAGCAGAGTGTGTGACTGTGTATGATCAGAGCGCAGTTCTGGAAAACACAGCTTTCGTTTGCGGCGTTTTGACTTGACAATACATGCATCGCAAACGCTATGGACACGTGTTGCACTGATGCAGCACGAGTTGCAGGTTCAAAACCCAAATACTTGATTAAAAGGAGGCGGCAATGAAGGAAGATTACTCTGCAACTCCACTTGAAGCTTCCCATGTGTACAACCATCAGTGCAGTGCCCAGTGAAACCTGTGTTTGCCGGACCCTCAGTGTACCAAGCCGAATCCCGTATTGACCGGACAAATTTCCATGCACCAAAGTGCTGTGGATCGAACGTGCATCCCTGGAGCAAGCCGAATCCTGTCATATCAGGCCGCCGCCGCAGTGCACCAACGGCATCCGGTTAGGGCAGGCTTTACTGTACTTTGAGTTTGTGGTTCTTGCGCAGGATGTGCAACCGTGCTACTCGCCGCTTTCATTGCGTGTAAATCACTAGCGGCTGACTCCCGGCGGCGACTAAAAACATGAGGTGCGGATGCATGTGTGTGTCAGTCGACTAGCTCTCATGCAATTCCACTCGAAGCCTGCTTCCAAATGACTGCTTATGCAGTGCAGTCTGGGCTACCAAGCTATCTACATACTGTGTACAAAGGGAGCAGTACACAACAGTAAGTTGGTCCCTGGCAAAACAGAGTGTATCCGCGGCAGTAGCACGGTTATCGAGCTCGGCCCACATGTAGTCAAATTCAATTGGCAATGATACATACCGCCTCGGCGAGCTTCACAGTATGATCACTGACTGGAAGCCCAAACTGCGACAGGAGATTGGCGACTGGCTCTCCACTGCTACTGCCGCTTTTTCCACCGGCTAGCAAAAATGCCATGCTTCTCTTCAGGAATTCCCACAGCAAGCGAAGCCGTGGCCGGGTTCGCCGCTGAACGCTCAAGCACTAGCAAAACGATTTGCTCTGTTTGAACCGTCGTTCTTCTCTTCTTTTTTTCACCTGGAAGGGTTCAGATCAAAGACTTTGTGAACAAGAATCGCAGGGCCTTGTGTAGTTGTGGTGGGCCTGGGGAAAGGGAAGACTGCATTCCAGTCCAGAAACTGCTCGACTTGGACACGACACGAGTCCATGACTGATGATGATCCAGTCAGTCTGTCTAGCTGGCCGGTGCACCAAAGCCAAAGGCAAAACTGGCAAAACTGAGCCAAAAACGTGTGAGGACGTCATCGATGCATCATCAAAGCGCGAGATCTCGAGACAAACTCAGCTATGACGTGCTGGTACTCATACATGCAGTCTTTATAACCAGCAGGAAGTCTGGAAGAAGGTGTTTTGAGAAACTTTTGACTGATTCAGATATCCCACTGACTCCTACGAAGTGTAAACAAGTTTTATAAACGGTTTACTGGTTGTCGATTGCTAAAGGAATTCTTGTTGAATTGCTGCAAATTGCGTACTGCCATTGCTCATTTGCTGTTCACGAGGAAGCGTCGTAGCTATTTGTCGAATGGATACTGACTTTACGTGTATGTCCATACTGGATAAAGCTGATATTCTGCACAGTGTGCAATGGAGAAAGTTTGCTCTCTCATATCAGAACAATTTGGAATTGAGTTGGAGCAGAAGGAACGTGAAATCCAGCTGATTGACCAACGCCTTGCAGATGTTCAATCTATGCTAGATCGTGTGCGTTCAGCAACTCTACTTCAGTATTATGGATTGACTGATGCTGGGCCTGATACCAGGAGTGATCCTTTGAAATCGAGTGCACTTAAATTCACAACTGGTCCTAGTGGTGGAATTTTGCTGCCATCTGATGAGTCTCGTAAACGTTCTGCATCTCCCACGGGGACTGCGCGTAATGGAAAACCTGGCGGTGGGGAGGGCGTAGATGTGGTAGGACACGACTTGCGTCAGCCGCAGGCTCAGGGCAGTACTGCTCGCAACAGTGCAGATGGTACATCACCGTGTTCCATCGTGCGGAAATGTATTATTGTTGGGAACACTTCACGGTTTATCCGCGAGGATCAACGAGAGGTCAATGACCAATCTACACACAAGTGGATGGTGTACGTCCGTGGTCCAAAAGAAGAACCAGGTATCGATCACTTTGTGTCTAAGGTCTGGTTCTTTCTACATCCAAGCTACAAGCCGAATGACATTGTTGAAGTATCGCAGGCACCATTTCACCTGACACGCCGGGGCTGGGGAGAGTTCCCTGTGCGCGTTCGATTGTTCCTGAGCGACAACCGTCACAAGCCTGTGGATCTTGTTCACTCGTTGCGCCTGGACAGATCTTACTCTGGACTGCAAGCATTGGGTGCTGAGACCATGGTGAATCTAGAGTTGGACGCTCAGCTGTTTCACCTGTCGCCGTCACCCGATCTGGCGGCAACACCCCCGGTGCAGGTTGACTTTGATCAGCGTGGTACAGCGATTACAGTGCCGCCTGCCCAAGCCGCTGCTACACCACTGCCAGGTGTCGCGTCGTCTTCACACGTGTCGCCGGTTCTGTTGACCTGCAATGCCCGTGTGGAGCACAGCTATGCTCTGCCCTCGTCATCGCTCTCCGAAGCCAAACTGGCTGTGGCAGAGGCACGTGCTGTACACGAACCTCCGTGTCTTCAGGTCACTGCATTAAAGCCAGCCGACCTAGCCGCTCGCATTGAAGATCACTTGTCATCAGTTAACAGCAGTACTGGAGCCGTCAGCCTGGAGCAGACCCTTGTGGACGGCGTTCGTTTCTTTCCCTTGGTTAGCACTAGCCAGGACAAAACTGTACATCCGTATGTGGCGCGTAGCACGGCTGAGTTCCGCTCATGGAGCATTGGCAAGCAACGTGCTTCGGAATGGCTTCGAGCGTTAGCACTGCGGCGTTACCTAGAATCAAGGCCAGTCCTTCCGTCGGTGCACAAGGCGACGACACGCTATGTGTTTGCGTGGTGCCGTGCACAGGGCCACAGTCGTGTTATTCTCATGGGCCACACTGGACCACAGTCCGGTGTGCCCAAATCACCGCTTCCCTTGTGTGGCCTCTGCGGTCGTCTGCTTAGCAACGGTGATCATGATGTTCACCTGCTGTGCCGCAACCGCTGCCTTCAGAGTGGCCTGACCCTTTCCAGCTGCCAGCCTTTGCTGAAAGAGCTTGCTCTGCAGCAGGCAGCCACATTAGGTCACTCTGGCCAGCAGAGAATTGGACATGGTATTGATGTGACTGGCAAATTCACAAGCCAATTCGGGAAAGCGAGGGCATTTGGAGTGGCAAATGCGATACGTGGAAGTGAGCACAGACCTCAGAGACGAAAGAAGCCACGGCCGCAGCAGCAACAACAGCAGCAGCAGGATGTGTCCAGTGCTCCTTTGTTTCCTCGGTATTGGTGTCGGGAGCTGCTGTCACAGGTCCATCTCGCAGAGGCTGTGAAGCCTCCGCTCGACCCGACCGAAGAGAGTGTGATGGTGCCATACCCGGCTGAGGTAGCGTTGAATGCAGCGTGCCAATGCATGCTACGGGACTTGCTGACAGCTGCCTGTGAGCTGGCTAGCAAGGAATCGAGTAGCTTCAACAGCGGTATCTCACCGACCCTCACAGTCTTCCATGTCCACGCCGCTCTCACGCACTCGTCACGTCTGGACATACTCAGCGATCGTGGCTTGGCATCTCTACAGCCTTAACTTGTTTTTAAAAGAATAGACCCGTGTGTGTGTGTGTGTGTGTGTGTGTGTGTGTGTGTGTGTGTGTGTGTGTGTGTGTGTGTGTGTGTGTGTGTGTGTGTATGTGTACGTGCGTATTTTCTATTGGGAGTATTGCTTCTATTCTTTTCCTGTACATAATGGAACTAGAAGCACAACAGGAAATAACGATCTAAGGAGGAAGTAGGTCTGTGCTGGATGCTGTGATGCATATTCTTACCGTACTAGTAATTTATATTGAGCGTGCTAGCAGGTTGGTGTGGTCCTCCCTCGCACGAAAGTATTTCCGTTATTATCTTTATCACTGACAGTGATTTTTTTAGCAATATGCGACAAGTAGGCATATCTTCGAAATTGGTTTTGTTTTATCGTGTTATATTGGCGTGTAGACGTGTGGTAGTTTTAATGATTATGCACATGGCTGGCAGTAGTTGTGTGATGGAAAGGCTTAGCATGTCTATAATAATAATTATGGACTCCAGTAGAATGTAGTATCTTTACTGTCATTCCCCAACAATTGAGAGTGTGAAAGCCCGTTGCTGGGCCTTGTGTGCAGCTGAGCGGATGATCTCAGGTCGGTGTCGCTGCTTAGAATGCTGGCCTGCCTTTCCCGTTGAGGTCCTGGAAAGGTTAGGAATCGAAGGACGGCCGGCCGTGTCTACCACATTTGCGCACGACGACATGATCAGTAATGCAATGCAGTACTTCAGCATGGCCAACAAACAGTTCTCAATGATAGTTCACCGGTAAAACAAGTTGTCATATCCTCTACAAGGAGGGAGGAAGTGCTGCAGATGTTTTATTTTACTGCAGAAAATGCTGCAGAATAGAGAGGTTAAGTTTCACGCAAAATTCTTACGTCCGTGAACTTTTACATCAAAAATTCTAAAAATTCACGTGAAATTTGACGTGTTTTACGTGAGTTAACTGTCCCGCACGAAAGCTCGTGACGTGGGTTTTTGGAAGTTTCGCTTGGTTATCCCGATCGAATTTGTGCGAGTTTCCGCAGTTTTATCGAGTTAATTGGAAGATTTGATATTTGTGCGAACTAAACCCGAATCCTGCCAGGCAAAATTTCACGTGTCTTCGCACATGCAACTTAACCTCTAAAAATTACACGTAACGTGAGATTTGCACAGCGTTTTGAAAAAAAGGCAAAAAAACGTGCAACTTAACCTCTCTAATAACCCCCTTTCCGCCGCGGGATTTGCCACAGAATTTAGGATTCTTGTCCACGTGTTTCCAAAGGGACAGTGCAATGCACAGTTTAGACGTACAATAGCAGACGTATCCTGGATATAGGACCTGTGGTTGACAAATCCCTAGTTTTATCCTGTTCAAATCAGGGATAGGAGTGGTATTTTACGACTCCCTGGTACAAATCAGTTCAAGGAAACACGTGTGATACATCGACACCCGTAAAAACGCCATAATTAAACTACTGGTGCAAGGTGCATTGCACCATGAACATGATGTCAACTTGTCTTGAAGTTCTGCCGGGACAGCAGGGTACACTGTACTAGTATGCGGGAGTTGCACACACTTCTGAGTTATGTGTTCTTGGCATAGCCGCTGCGCTGCTGGCAAACCGCATACTACTACCGGCACGTACTCTTTGCACAGCCGGTGCTAGCATACGTAAAGTTTGTAAACCACATACGTACACATACAGGTCTGGACAAATGGAAGGATGAGAGAAGATTTCCCATAGCGCAGCGGCAGAAACTATCAAAAATAGAGAGCGAGAAAAATGCAAACTAGCCAGTCTCCAAAAACAAATCCAAACGGTGCGAAAATGATGAAAGACAAGCATGTACAGTTCACCACACCAGCGAGACGAAGAGCGATAACAATGCAGAATTAGGAAATGATAAGAAAGGGCAGTCTAGGCGAGGCGGAGGAGGCAGAAAACGAGGAATACAACACGAGATGCCGCACAAGGAGACGATCTGAGTCTAGCTACAAAACAATGACGGACACGAGCGCGCAAGATATTCTCAACCGCAATGCTAGAATACAGCGTCAGCAGGACTTTAAATGTGGAGGATAAGTGTCCAAAATAGTCAAACAATAGTATACTCGGAACACAACACTAGCACACGCAATGGTACTAAAGAGAGAAAACTCTCCGCTAATCCATGGGAATATTGTCAATTGCTTATGAGCAATATAATTATAATAAGGCCTCAGCGAGGATGGGGTGGCTAAGTTGAGGAATGGCAACAGCACATATGGCAACATAATCTTGTGTACACGCACTAGGTGACAGTAGCATCAGTGTCAACACTGCCAACAATAGCAATAAGCGAAAACGTGGCAGTCACACAACTACTGCCGCCTCACACTAAGCTGCGTCATACACTCGGCATGTGCAACAACACACTAAGCTGCGTAATACACTCGATAGAAGACCGTCTTGGCGCGCAGCACCGAGTACGTGTTATCAAACTGGATCAGGTACGTACCCGGGCCAGGATAGGCATGTGAGCCACCTATTACCACTTGATGTGACTGCTTACGCTCCGATGGTAAAACCTCAACGATCTTGCCTTCGACCCCGTCCACAGCCGGCCATTGAAAGCTGACACCAAACGCCAGATCGTAATTCTCAGTGGCAAATTCCCAGAACATCCGCGAACCCGCAGGATTCGTAACGGCTTTCACAGTCACGGTCTCGCCATGTCCAAGTACGATTACAGACTCAGGGTCTTGCTTCATCTGGCCAATGAACTCCGTGCGCTCTGGACGAGTCCATACTTCTGGGGTGGCAATTCTTGGGGCTCCACCATCAACCTGCGTGGAAAGTGCACAGAGTACATGTAAAACAATTCAAACCAGCTTCCAAAACACGGCAAGTATCAACAGAAGACAAGTATTATACCGCAATAACCAAGAAACATCTGCCATAAGCAGAAGGATCAAATATGTGCTTTGCAGCGGTTAACAACTGACCCAAATAACCAAATTCCTTATCAACTTGATTCAATCCTATCGACAGACTATCGACTGGTTATCGACTGACATTACCCTCACACATGAACACAAGCACGGCATATTTACCCCTACACACATGCACATGCATGGTCACACACCCGTGCACAAGCAAACAGAAGCACAATAAGAGCACATTGTAGGTTTGAACGCTCAAACGGACCCATGCGAAATGTGCTTGGCACCGTTTTTGTACCCGGCTGTGTGTTAAAGCGAAATGGATCCAGGCGCCAAGTGTACTGCACAGTACTTGGCCTGAACTTGCAGGACAAGTGCATGAATTACAGGTACAAGACTTTTAGACAATTTAAGTCATGTATTTTCAACATACTTATTATGCGAGTTGATAAGGGTTTTCCTTATATCGACTCAACCTTATTGACTGAGTTGTTTCACCCTAGTTTGTACGCCGTAGTAAGATGTCCCATCCTGCGGATGCGGAAAATCAGTCTCACGCTATTTTTCATTTGTAAGATGTTGCATGCCAGTTGATGGAAGATCGGGGTCGCGTTGAGTCATGGTGCGTGTGTGCAGCGTAGTGATTTTATGCGAAAGCTACTCGGTAGCATGCACGATGAAAACTAAAGCCGATGAACGACAAACTCCCGGACGCCCTATACAAACCAGAGCCAGGTGGTCTCTATTTCAGTGAAACTTCAGTATAGAGTACAATCTGTACCTCATAGCCAAGGTACTGTATAACATAATCATTAGCAACAGTACATGATCAAGAGTGTGCAAGTCGACAATCCACCAGTCCACGCGGAATTTTTCTATGACATCAGCCTCACGTGGCTGCTTGGCTCACTGATGCCATTAATTATGCGTAGTCAGAGATCAAAGTACAAAGAATTTGTACACCTCAGCTACAGTAGTCGAAGCAGAACAACGAACGATAGATCGATGTGTCCTGAATCTGTTGAACTCTCACCGTATCTACAAAACAAGCGCGGGAAAGCATACGCACTTGATCATACTCGTACTTCTGCAAAAATGACGCAATAAAAAAATCCGCCGTGGGTTAGCCCACCACAGCTCGAGATAGCGAGTTACACACTCTTGGCTACGTACTCTTGACATTAGGCAATGTGTTGATAACATCTAAGACGTCAGAGAAAGGCTAGTAAAGAGGGACATATACCACATGTGTGCTGAAGACAGCATAACTAACCTGATCGGTTCCATGACGCGTGTCTTGCGACTGCTGCTGCTGATCCGACTGCAACTGGCGCTGCTCGCCCGATTGTGCCTGATGCCGCTGTGCCTCCTGGAGCGCCCGCTGTTGTCGCTCCCTTTCGAGCAGTGACTGATTCTGGTGGTGCTGAGCCAGCAATGCTGCATTCTGGGCGGACTGGCGTTGCCTTTCTTCCTGTTCTTGTCGCAAGCGACGCTCTTGTTCTTCCTTTAGCCTACGCTCTTGCTCCTTTCGCTCTGCTTCTTCTCTGGCCCTTCGCTCAGCTTCTTGCTGGGCCTTGCGTGCTGCTTCCTCCTCAGCTTGGCGCTTTGCCTCTTGCATCTTCCCGCCGATTTCATCCATTTGATCCTGGTGGATCTCAGAGAGAAGCTTGATGAAGCTTAGCTTGGCAGAATCTTGATCAAGGTCGCCGAGTGCTTGCCATGCTTTTCTACAAAGCACAAAGATGGGACACGGATTTTGGAAACACAGTGGCACTACGAAAAAGCAGCGAGAAGAATAAAACACCAAGTATATACATGTAGGAATACTCAACCTACCATCTACATTTAATGCTGAGGGTTATGTGAACTTAGTGGCGATGTCTATATACAGGTGCATTGTCCCAGAAACAACACCAATGGCCAAAAGCAAACGGTGACACACAGATGATATTATGACATAAACGGCATTGAACACGCAGTGGCAACACCAGAAGTCTGACTACCTTCTGGACCCAGCTTAGTGATCCCATTTCCGAGGTGGTCTGGTGTATTTCGTATGTGTGCATCATCCGCCATACATGGAGGAGCCGCGTGCAGGCCTGGAATAAAGTGGTCACATTTCCACGGCGCTCTATGTGTAACGTGAGGTGATCGGAGACCGAGGTGCCACATCACATGCGCCTGTAAAGAACCACTTCGAGTGCTCTCTTAACTTTTTTTGGTTGATGAAAGATAAAGATCATCCATTGATTATTCCCAAAACAGGGTCATGACAACTACACGTACCTCCTGTCGTTTCCGACGAAGTCAAAAAAGCCGACATCACCGAATTTCTCAGGAGTGAATGGACCATGCGTGGACTGCCTCCAAAATGCAGACAGCTGGATTTTGTGAGGATAGGAAAATCTAGCACCATCCTTCTCTGAAGACACCAAAAACACAAGCAGCATACGAAAGACGTGAACAAAACACACATTCAAATCACGTACAGACAAGCAAAGACCCTGGGCAGTGAAGTTGCGATGATCATGGACCTGGCCCATCATTTCACAACAACTTTGGGGGTACACGGCTTCGAAGAGAATAAGTGCCACTGAGTAGACTGATATCTCAACTCCGCAGTTATCAGTTCCCTTGAACTCCTCGTGTACAGAGGCACAAGGGATTTCCAAACAGCAGTAATATGGTGGACAGCATGCTAGTCGTCATACTTCAGTTTCCTGACGGCTAAGGTCGCCCACCGTTGCCTGTCACTGGACAACAACATCATGGCAAACCTCCTACTGCTGAGAGCAAACCAAGGGGTACTCAGCGAGTGAGAGGGGGAGATTGTTAGTGCACCTCAGTCCTCAAATTTCCAGAAGAGGAGAAAAACAGGTGATGGAACCAAGTTCATCAGCCAAAAAGAGCCGAGCTGAGGTCAGCAGCTCAAGAAGCAATGCAACCAGCTCATCGGAGTCTGACAACGAGCCTCTGAGCTCCGATGTACTGCAGCAGTTCTAGATCTTCCAGCTGCTTTCCCCTGTCAATGCTCCACCGGGGGAAGGATCTGTTTTGGTCTGGACACATTCTGAACAGTGGTACCCTCGTGTGCTACCAGTCTCTGCCATAGGCTGCCCGCCAAGGCAAGCTACAAACGTTGGCGCAGAGACTGCAGCTCACTTCACCCCACCATAACGTGCTGATCATCACCGGGTGGAATTGAAGGCACTGGACCAGACCAAGTCTATTGCTGTACTGTATTAGCCTCTTTAGTCTTTACTTAAAGGGGAACTGTCACCAAAAAAATTCTTTGTCTTATCTTGTAGTTCTTTGGCTCCTGATCACGATGGTGTTATTCGTTTTTCTCTGCGATGACTGGAAGTGGGTGAAAACTTGAAAAGAAGGTGCCCAAAATTGTCCCGAAGTACCGAGTGACGTCACGCCGGACTTGACCTCCACGCGTACTTTCATCGTCAAAAACGAAGTCCAGCCCGTGTGCTCGTCGATCGAGCCAACTGTTCGATGTACGGTGCACGCTTGCCTTCTGAACTCGGACACTCCATGTGTACTTTGTACACAATGAGAACGCCAAAAAGGGACAAAATAAACAAAAGTCGACTGCAGCTTGTCGCACTGGTACTTCCTCCACGAAGCTCCAGCTCTTTGTTTTATTTGTGATTACGAAGGAGTGGAAGGATGTTTGTTTGCTGTTAGTGTGACACACATACCTCGTACTTGAAAATGATGTCGTTGTATCGAAGGTGGCGATGTTGCCCACCCGGCTCTGAAATGAAAGACGTCGGAGTTCGTCATCTGCATCTTGAGCAACATCGCCAGATGAATCGCCTTCACGTAACTACATTGCGTTCCTTTGGGGCTCGGGTTGGTGGTGTTATCGGCGGCGGGAGGAGTACTGTTTTCTGCATACACACTCATCATCGTGTTGTTCCTCACACGAAAAGTTCAAAACAACGACGTACTTCCGTGCTCACAAAATAAAACTTAGATCCTCGCGGAAGAAGTCAAAAAGGTGAAAGCTCAGCTGCTTTTTATTTTGATTTGGCTGTGTAGCTGCACGTGGGTCTCTGCCTCTTTGGCATTCTCCTTCGGTACGACGTACCCATCTGTGTTACAGTTCAAAAGGCACATGTGCACCGTACATTGGAACAGCTAGCTCGATCGACGAGCACACGGGCTGGATTTCGTTTTTGACGACGAATGTACGCGTGGAGGTCAAGTCCGGCGTGACGTCACTCGGTACTTCGGGACAATTTTGGGCACCTTCTTTTCAAGTTTTCACCCACTTCCAGCCATCGCAGAGAAAAACGGATAACACCATCGTGATCAGGAGCCAAAGAACTACAAGATAAGACAAAGAAATTTTTTGGTGACAGTTCCCCTTTAATGTGAATCAGCATGCCATACCGCCCTGCAGGCCTATAGTGCACCGGGTGCTGTACTAGAGGGTTCTGAATCTTGTTGGCTGCTGCATTAGTTCCATCCATAGACTTTAGAGACAGCACCAAAGCATGGTGCCCGGAAGTGTGTGTGTGTGTGTGTGTGTGTGTGTGTGGTGTGGTGTGTGATGTGGTGTGTGTGTGTGTGCGCGGAAAGAGTACCGAGCTTCTCAGTGCTGTGTTTCTGATGCTGTTCGACTCGCCAAGGAGAAGTGGGTCTGTGACTTGGCAACCAAGGCTGAAGACGCTGTACGTAATGGTCGAGTCCAGTGGGGGTGCATAAAAACCCTAGCCTCAACCTTCGCAGGTCGTCAGTCAGCACCAACAACATCAATTGTGGATGAAAACGGCAATGCTCTTACCTCGCAGACACAAATTGCAGCTCGATGGCAGCGCCACTTCGACACTGTGTTCAATCTTGCAACTAATTTTGATGCTGAGGTTATTGGTAGAGTGCCACAATCTGAGGTCCGTGATGACCTAGACACTCCACCTACTCTCGGTGAGCTTCAGACTGCCTTAAAGCGCATGAAGTGCGGCAAGGCTGGAGGATCAATAGGTGTGTTGCCAGAAATGATATAATCTGTGGTGGCGAAGACCTGCACCGGTATCTACTGGACGTAATGGCTTCGGTTTGGCAGAGTGGTGATGTTGTCAGTAACTGGCGAGATGCAGTGATCGTTCCCATCCCGAAGAAGGGTAATCTGCGCCTGTGCGACAACTGGCGAGGTATAAGCTTGTTAGACGTTGCCGGGAAGTTGTTCGCCAGCATCATTCAGACACGGATGCAATCTAGCGCAGAGGAAGTACTTCCGGACTCGCAGTGTGGTTTTCGTTGTGGTCGAGGTTGCAATGACATGATATTCGTGGCCCACCAGCTCATCGATAAGACCATTGAGCATGATGATGAGCTATGTGTACTGTTCGTAGATCTCCGAAAAGCCTATGATTCGATCCCCAGGCTTGCTCTTTGGTCAGTCCTCGAGAAGCTAACATAGGTGTACCTCCACAGATGCTTCAGGTATTTCAATCTCTCCATGATGGTATGTCAGCAGCAGTGCGAGTTTCAGAAACAACAACGAATCTCTTCTCCGTACACAACGGACTCCGTCAAGGATGTACGCTTGCACCGGTGTTATTTAACCTTTACTTTTCTGCTGTCGTGCGCGAGTAGCGTTCTGGTTGTGTCTCTGCTGGGATACCAGTGGCATATCGTCTTGGTCGGAAGCTTGTCGGTGACCGCACAGCTAAAGTCTCGCCTGTCACACTGTTCTGTCACGGAATCGCAATTCGCTGATGATGCCGCCATATATACCCAGTCAGTCGAGGACATGGGAGCCGCTGGCAGTTCCTTCGTTGTGACTGCAAGCAGGTTAGGCCTCACTGTAAGCTTCACCAAGACCAAAGCTATGGTAGTGAATGCCCCGTCGCCACCATCCGGCCTTTTAGAGTTGCCTGAGGGCAGCATTGAGCTGGTGCCTGATTTTAAGTATCTCGGCAGTTGTATTTCTTCGGATGGCCAGATGACTGCTGAGATCTCGGCTCCGCTTGGCGAAAGCTTCCCGAGCGTTTGGCACATTGCGCTCATCTGTCTTTTCCAATCGTGATCTCTCTGTCAAGACGAAGGTGCACGTACATTCGGCCGTTGTCTTGTCGACGCAGCTGTATGGTTGTGAGACCTGGGCAATTAAGGTCGTGGATGTTTGTCGGCTTGCAGCCTTTCATCACCGCTGCGTTCGCTTCCTGCTGGATATTCCCAGAGAAACACAATGGCAGGAGCACATCTCCAACACCACTTTCCTTGAACAAGCCAAGGTACAGCCGATCGAGGAGGCACTGAAAACACGTCGACTCCGCTGGTTAGGCCATGGATGACTCCCGTATGCCAAAGTGTATCCTCTTCGGCGAACTGGACAAGACCCGGCCACGTCATGGGCCCCGGAAGAGGTGGCGGGACAATGTTGTGTCCGACATGAAGGACCGCCAGATAGTGGACTGGTACGACCTCGCCCAGGATCGCAGAGAGTGGAGATCAGCATGCAGCACCATTCCTCCGACCGAGCCCGTCACCTTAGATTTCGTTTGCACCTGTGGAAAGCGCTATCGCCGTCGCCAGGACTTGACTCGCCACGCCCGATTTTGCTCGTGACTTGAACACTGTTGGTCCCTTCGGGACCTGCTATCATCTCCGGATGGGCATATTGTATTGTGTGTGTGTGTGTGTGTGTGTGTGTGTGTGTGTGTGTGTGTGTGTGTGTAGCTGGTGTCTCTGAACCCCGGAAGAGAGAGAGAGAGTTAATCTATGCAACACACAATCTGGGTTTCATTCTATTCCACTATGGTCGCTCGCTTCTAACATATAGTTGACTCCACTTATAACGAACTCGCATATAGCGAACCATTGTCTACGTCCTTGTTCAAACCCATACAAAAGTGACCCTTCGTAGCGAGCCATTTTCGTTTATAATCGTTAACCACAATTATCTTGAAGGGCCGCATGTAAACCAAATGCACTCATACAGTCATGGGCCACATGCTAGTCATAGTTTGCTGCTTGTATAGTGAGTGCATTTTAACGAACCTCGGCTATAACGAGCTACAGTGTAATTCTCCTGGACAATGGTGTTCGTTATATCAGGAGTTGACTGTACATAAGTAATCACTGAAAATTCACACAAATTCTACAATTCCAAGACTGTTGAACATACCACGCCTGTATACATCAAGTGCTACTTGATACGCCTCGGCCAGAGTGAGTCCAAATCGTGCTGCGTAGTCAATTTGGTCTGCCATCGAACGGTTCTCTTGATCTGATTCACCCATGGCATTAGGCATCAAACTTCTAAACGTTAATTACGTGTTCCAATTACTACCACTAATTCGGAGGTATACAAAAAAAACCTGGATTTGCTGAAAGATAAATCGACAAGACTGAAACCTATGAGAAGTTGCGGCATGTCACAACTTTCAGATCACAGCTGCAGTCTGGGAACTCCTTGAGGAAATTTCTTACTATTGCCACTGTTGTTGAGCAAGAAATGAACGGAGACAGGGCTACAAGCACCACCAGCTACAGTACAGACTCAGCTACTGCGTGCACATGACGTACTAGTGGTCTTTGTGGATAGACGACTAGACGTCGGCGGTCGATCTGTCTTGGCCTGACAAAGCTGATCTAGAACTCTGACGCGAAGCAAAAAAATGGAAAAAGACTAATAGTAATAAGCTTCACTGACTAGCTCGACTGTACATACAAGCAGGACATGGTTTGATTCGAAAGCAGTTTCTGATGCAAGGACATGTCGACAGTCACTGACTCACTGGCTGAGCTGTGCATGCACCACAGGCACAGGCTGCAGCATGCATGCATGCGATTGCCATCAACAAAAGCTAGCCGATCCCCGTCTATCTCGTCGAGCCGCGCGTGAAAAAGTTTTTCTCTGATCTGAATGCAGAATTGAAGATCAAGAAGGCACGAGTCGCACGACCATGAAGCGTGGCAGTCGTACGCCATATTTGCTATGTCAACGATCGCGGCCGGTCCGGGATCGATAGCGCTAGCGTGTGCTTGGTTACCATGGTTACATTACGCCAACGCCTAGGGCTAGGGCCGAGACGGCGAGAGTCTGGGATACAAGGGCCGTGGGGTTTCCCCTCTAGCTGGAGGGAAGCATTTAAATTTTTAAAAATGTTAATATTTGCGCTGCTTTGATGACGCTATTCAACATACAAGCTGCTTGCTGGTTTGATAGAATAGTTTGTACTACGTGACTGGAGTTCAAGTAATCAGTTAGTTGCCAACCTATCGACAGCACGTGGAAGAAGAGAAAAAGCTCCCCAACGCGCACAGTACTGAGCTAGCAACCACCCATCCAGGTAAGTTTGAATACGAGAGTACTGTGTTCCCGCATGCACTAGCATGATTTTTTCACTTGCGAGTTTTGTCAATCGACATAGGCACTATGTACTACTATATATACTGGGGGAATAGTAAAATTGAGCATTACAACAAATCCCTCCACTAGTGAATATTACAAATAAAAAAACGTCGAAGGAACGACAAGTTACTATAATGTCCACTAACACCACCAGTTACTAAACAATCAGCTCTTGCGATAACATTGCACGGCACTGACCGACGGTACTGACGTTCTACAACTAACTGGCTAACAGCTCTAGCACATCTTGGATGTGCACTCCAACAGCCTTCCAACTTGGAAGGTTCTAAGTTATAGAAATAACATCAGGAGGGCTCTCCATCCGAGTTCATTAAAAAAACGTCGGTACACAAGAACAACATATTGGGTGTGTTAGCCAGGGAGTCGTCAAATACGAATTTGACGACTCCCTGGTGTTAGCCCGGCAAGTTCTAGAACCTGTGGCAGTTTGCAACAAGAACATTTGACAAGCGTTACCGTAAAGCTGAGTTTCATCGCAGCCGTAACCCATGCGCTAGGAGATATTTTCGTCACAGAGTAAAGCGGGATTCACAGAAGCTTCTTTGCGATGCGACGCGATCTGCGACGGAGCGAACTCGCGAAATACCATTCACAGAAGTCAGCGATGCGACAACGCCTTGCTGATTTGGCACGAAGTTCAATGCAGGTGGGTATGTCACCATAGTACCGCAAAATCCCGCCAGAGCGTCCCGTCTCTCCCATCTGCCCCTCCCTGACTTCTTGTCAGGGACGTGATTGATTGTATCCTCGTATGACTCTGTCGCAGTCTGTGATGCCGTACTGTACTGCAGACGCGTGCTCGACCCCGTTGGAAATGTACGCAACAGTGCCCACCCTCTTGAACAGGGATCGCACAAACCCTCCAAACCCTGCGTTTTGTCGGGTCTGTACGACTCCTGGCTCTTAACCTTTGGTCGGTGTACGAGATGCACGAACAGTTTTCGTAGGGTGAGTACTTTTTCATGTAGCACTGAATGCGGCAAGTAGGACTCATCCATCCGCCCCTCCCCACCTGAAGCGTCGAGGAGGTAGGGGCGCTTTGGCGGGATTTTACGGTATTCGCGGCATTTCGCGCAGCTTGGTACAACTTGTACAAATTTACAGGCAACTCTTGAACCTTTGTACAACTTTGTTGTAGAAAAGGGCAAAATCGTACGCCACATCGCTTGTCGCATCGCAAAAGTTGAGCCAAGCTCAACTTCTGCGATGGCCCAGTTGCGGCAGTTGCGTGGGGTGCGAGATGGATGCGATTTGGGGATTTCCCGGTTTCGCGGCCGTCGCATCGCGTGTCAGAAGTGGAAAGAACACTGAGTTATTCACTGATTTGAGGGAAACGCTGAATTACTTTATTGTTTAGAGTGTTCTACTATGCGAAATGTGTTATTATTCAGGAGCATCGGACATGCTACGGTCACTACGGCATTGACCGTATCACTCGTTGTCCCGGGTTTTACCCTGTGAATCGATAGAAAGCACTTATCTGGGCTCTAAATTTCGAAATATTTCGGTGGAGCCACCCCCAACCCCCCGAGTAAATTGTGCTTCAGATGGCTAACCACACCACAATCCAACGCCCCTGTTATGATTATTGTTATAAGTTGCATGGTCCAAGCACAGCATGCAGGTGCATTTAAGTCGGAAAACCGTGCACAAACTACTAATGCATGCATCACCATTCATATAATAAGTCAGCATTGTTGTTGTTGTTGTTGTTGTTGTTGTTGTTGTTGTTGTTGTTGTTGTTGTTGTTGTTGTGTGTGTGTGTGTGTGTATGTGTGTGTGTGTGTGCGTGTGTGTGTGTGTGTGTGTGTGTACGTGCGCGCGTGTGTGTGTGTGTGTGTGTGTGTGTGTGCGTGTGTGCGTGTGTACTACTGCTTTCCAGTGCGGTCTGGTGGTCAGGGCAACACTGCGAAGAAGACTGTCGGTCGGCCGCCTGTCCGACGCGGCGCAAGTGAAATCTTGACTGGTCCGGCAGATAATGATTGTCAGCCCCTTTGGGCAACAACAAGCATGGCAAGCGTTTCAAGGTACCACAACTCAGCGCTGATGTACCGGCTGAACAAGTTGTTCGTGGCAAAGATGGTATGGAAGAAGGTGCAGCGAACATTGGATGCACAGACTACGTACGAGGCAGCAACGTACTATGCTCAGTGGTCACGTGGCAAGCGCTATGTGCCAAGGCCGGCACGATGCTCCAGTATCGCTGCTACTGATCTTGCTAATGAAATCTTCTTGGAGCAGGTCAGTTTCAAGTGCTTCTCAGCATGTACTTGTGCGTATATTCTCTATTATAAGCGCTGCGCTCATAGTTTTTCAACACCCCTCTACCCCGTGCTTATATACTGAAGATCGTGCTCATATATTTTTTGGAAACCAGGAACTCCACACAGGGCAAGAAGAAATACATGCTAGATGCCATGCATGCAGTACTGTTGCGCGGCAAGCGATGTAACACGACAAGCGATGTAGCACGCCCGAGGTCATGAAACCCAAACTGCACTTACCGTATTTTCCAGAGTATAGTGCGCCCTTTAGATGTGCTATTTTAGGCCCTAAATCGCAGGTGCGCACTATGCTCCGAATATGAAATGCATGTACTTCAATGAAGATTGAAGTGCGCACCCCCAATGAAGATTGGGGTGCGCATTATACAAAGGTGCGCACTATACTCCGAAAAATACGGTAGGTAGCCACACAGTCATCATTGTCATGGTGCTGGAAGGCAGCATGTGCTGTACCGTGTGGACTACTCTAGCATGTGGTGCTTCTGAAGTACGTAATACGTGGAATGATATTGCTACTGACAGCATGCATAGTAGCAAGAGTGCATAACCCCCAAGAGTGTTCAACTCACACGTACCCTGCTATACTGACAGAATTTCTCAAGTTGACGTCATTTTTTATTACGCAATGGTCTTCGCACGAGTGATTTACGATGTTTGTACGGGGGTAAACGTATCATGCATGTTTCCTTGTACAAAATCAAGCCGGACTTGTCCGCCACAGGTCCGGGATACGTCTCATTATACCTGTCCCTCCAGGAAACCGCGATTCCATGGATGCAACAAATTTCGCGATTTTCTGCAAAATCCGCGATTTCCCGCGTTTTTTGTTGTTTTCTGCATTTTTTTACGTCTTGATGCACTTTTCACGCAGGTCATTTGCACAGTTTACGACAGTACTACTCCCGGGGTGATCTACTGCGCAAATAGCGATTCTACCGATGCAACAAATATTTAATTTTGTGATTTGGTCAAAATCCGCAATTTTCTGCAAATTACTCCGCGAATTCCTGGCAAGTTCCGCATCTCTTCGCACTTTTCGCTGCATTTTTTTGTTGTTTTTCGCACAAGTTTTCGAGAAATTTTGCGCAAATTCCCGCAGGGATAGTTATACGTGTACAGTGCGCATTGCATCATAAAAATGACGTCAACTTGAAATTCTGTCGGGACAGCACCCATAGTGGAGTTGAACACTCTTGGGGGGGGGGGGGTAATGTACTTTTGATTGTAGTAATAGCCTAAATTAAAAAAGTAATAGGTTCTTTTTTTTAAACGGGTGGACCAAAGGCAAATGCCAAAATGAATTAGCATACATAGTGTGACCTGATGTCATCTGTGCACAGCTTGCTGGACGAAATGAGTGCTCTGGGGATCGAAAAAAAAACCCCGCAGTGCAGCACCAGTTTGTCCTATAGGCTTTTGTATGTATTTCATCATTGTGTTCCCAGCCTATTGCAATGGTGCAGCATGTAGCACTACACTGTATGTGGCGAGAGCGGATAGCATGCTTCAGTCTGGATGTGTAGACTGCCTCTCGGTGTCCGGTGTCATACTTGCTTGCACACAGCTCATCCAGCACCTGACTGCGTACAGCACTGAGGTGTGCAGGTGGAGGCTTGGCCTGCCCAGTATCGTTACCAGCGGCACAGATGGATTGAGCAGCAGCAGGGCTATGCCGTCTGTGCTGCGCCGAGGCGACTACGCTGGCCCTGTGTTCCACGATGAAGCAGTGGCCGAACGGCAAAGCGAACTCTCAACGGATGCTATGGTGGAGACCCAGTGTCAATCGCCAAGAACGTTTACACTGGAAAGACGAGAGTCTCCGCACACACCACCGGACATGGATAAAGGTATGTCGGCAGTTTTGGACATGAGATGCAGACCGGGATGATGACACTTTTCATTGTGATACCTGTTCTAGTCTGCAGTGGACATGTACAAACGGCACACAGCCTTTCACGTGCGACTGTGTGCAATACATGCTCCCATACTCATGACCCTGGCTGGTACATTGTTACCACCAGCGTGTTCATGAATGGAAACCTGCGGAAGTTGCTGCATAGCAGTGCTCTTTCTCTCTCTCTCTCTCTCGCAGGTGAAACAAATCTACGTGTTGCGTTTGTGCTGCCCCTGAAACCAACACCATGCACGTTGAGAGTGAATCTTGTTTCTTGCTGGACTGTTGTTGGCACACAGGTGTGTTATTAAAAGGGACAGCCGTGCCTGGACAGCTGGTGGCTATCTACCCAGGACTGATGGTGAGTCTCTGGTGGAGTCCTGTGTAATGGAGGCTGAGACGGCTGGACGGAATCCAATCTGAGCCGTTTCCTCCAGCTTGACTGTGTGCCACTATTGTACACTGCGAGGATGAAAGCCACTTCGAAAATGATGTACAGTCAAAACCTCTTTAGGACGAACACCAAGGGACCGACGGGATTTGTTCGCAATAACGGGAGTTCTTATCCATATCTTATACCCAGTGAATACACCATGATTTATCCAATAGAGTTACAAATACTGTATTAGTGAAAGTTTGTTTTATCAGTGTTCTTATTAACGAGGTTTCACTGTAGCTCGGCAGCGCATGATCATCCATGCACTGCTCTAAGAAATGTATTGATAGCGAGAGAGCGAGGAACGAGCAGTCAATCACCCTTACGTGCAGACCTGCCAACCATTTGGACGTTGACACGGTACAGGACTGGTGTAGGTGCGTAAACGAGGTCCGTCTTGTGCATTGCGCCTGTGGTATGCATGGTTGAAATGGGTCACCGTGCACTAGTGGAGCACCACAGGCTTGTAGCTTTTTTATTTATTTTGCAGCTCGTATTTCGCAATTTACCTCGGCTGGTGTGTGCGTGCGTGTGTGTGTGTGTATGTGTGTGTGTGTGTGTGTGTGTGTGTGTGTGTGTGTGTGTGTGGTTTTCTGTGCAAAGTATCCACCGCTTGATGAAGGAGAAACTCTGAAAACCGAGAATAAGGATGTGTGGCTGAGACTGGGCGCTGGAGGTGGAAATGTGATCGACGCCAAGGACTATAGCAGCCTGCAGCTGATTGTAAGTGAACATGTAGATTAGAAGTTTCAGTTGCTATTGTTCAACTGTGACGTGGATTGTAAATACTGGACGTGGATACTGGATGACTATATTCGTTACACTTTACAGGCTGTTTATTATTACCAAGCTTTCCTCTTGTCTCTCATTGTTGTGTATTTTCACAATATTGTGTTGCATTGTATTACAAAAAAAAAAAAAAAAAAAAAAACTGTTACGTGGAATGTACCTGACTGACAACCATCACGTAATCATAATGTGGACTTGTAACTTCTGTGATTCATAGGGCATACCACACCATCCGCTGGCATTCGGCCATCTAATCAACCATCCTCCCGAAGGTCAGTGCAGAACTGTGTGTTGACAATGCATACAAGCAAGGGTCCATGAACAAGAGTACTGTATGCAACCGTAATCTCTTTTTTATGGGCCAGATGCGCGGCACGCTACAACCGTGAAGTGCGGAAAAGCAAACACCACACTTTCCCTGTGGTTTGAAATCAACTTCCTGGTTTTCAAATTTGGGAGGACAAAGATCCCTTCCGCAACGCTGCAAATATTCTAACAAGAAAATTGTCCAACGAGCAACACACGCGTCCTGCCTAATTTGACACTTGACTGACTCACGACTGCCATCCGGAGCACACGAGGAGCATGTCGCACCTTCCACTTGGCAAACCTGCTCAATGCACAGTGTTTTGGGGAATTCACCCCTCATCAGTTGAGCTTGAGTAGGCTGAGGAAGATTGTGCCTGAAAGCACCACTTATATAGTGCTCTCCAGGCAAAACCATCACCAGGGATACAAACTGTGTGTTCCTCGTTAGAGCAACCAACTTCATCACTAATACCGCTGAAGTCGCAACTTCTAAGTAGGAGTGAAACGGTTCCATGTTTTTCATGTTCGGGAACCCGAATGCCAGCATAGTTTCCCACGGTTCGGGTATCGGTTCCATGCACTCTTTTCTCCAGACCGACCAAATGCGTCCGTGACAATTATTTTCAAGTTAGAAAACATTTTTACGAGCAAGAACGTGACATCGGAGAGTCCATGTGCGAAGAAGGTACGCTCGTAGTGACCAGGATCGATAGGAGAACCCTTTGGAAGGGCAGTGATCATAAGGTAAGACATTTAAAAATCTTGAGTAGACTTGGCGTGTACATGTATTTGTACAAGAACGAGATTTTTCGAGTTTCGGTTCGAAATTTGACGGAACGGGTACCCGATTCTTTTCAGCTGGCGGTTCCAAAACCGCGTACCGGTTCCTTACCGGAACCGTTTCACCCCTACTTCTAAGTAAGAACATTGTCCATTTATTTAAAAAGCAACTTTTCGGCTTTTCGCCATCATCGAGTTAGCAATAGTTCTAGCTGGGAAAAACCAAGAAGGCGGAGAGGGAGGACGGGTTACAAAAGAATAAAAAGTAACAAATGCCGATTCCAATATCAAAGAAGCATGTAGTCGAATTTCAGTACCAGTATAGGTAACTTTTCCTCCATGAACCATAGAAGTTGGGATGCTATAGCCGGGGTCCTCCCAGTATAGTGAAAGTATGCCCAGGGCATCAACATGGAACTTTGTTGCTGCTGTGTTCCCTGGTCCTGCATAATGCTTGGTCTCATCGTCTCAGGTATGCATCCCAATGTTCTCAAGTTCACGCTGGTGATTGACAGAAACTTCCCAAGACACCTGCTACCTCTCATACCGATTCGGTGAGTCAGCTTAATTAATCAGTTAATGCCTTACTAGTAATTTACAAAAGGAGGTGTGTGTGTTTGGGGGGGTTCAAACCTACAATTACCAAAGGCTCTGTAGCTACTGAGGCTTACACTTTACAGACAGTGTGCCAGGTACCGGCACAGCTGGCGAGTGTAGGCTTCGTCAAGATTGCGACCATGACGAAACCTGTACTTATGCGAAGACTACCACATGGCCCGGATCAGGGTCTGCAGGTGGGGAGCGCAGGGGGGGGGGGGGGGGGGGCGTATTCACTACCGTGATACTTCACTCATACCTTTGCTTGCAACACATTTGAAAGAGAGGATAGACTTGGATAGCAGCAAAACGAAAGAGAGAGAAGAGTACAGAACTTCCAAGAACATAAGCACTGCCTGGCATGAGTTACATGCATAGGACTGTAGTACGGTAATATGACTGACAAGAGTAATGTGACTAACAAGTAGTAAGTATGACTGACAAGGATCTCAGCATCCATCAAGTAAATTGGGTTTCCTCGTATATACCTGCCAGCAGATATGGATTAAACACTGTAATACTCATCAAGAGATAGTTCGGTAATGACTACAGAGTACGACTGTTTAATGTACATGCAATACTAACAGCTAGCAGTTGCGGAGGTGCGGCGGAAAGACGGGAACGCCGAGTTGCCTGAAGACATCCTCCTCGGTCGCAGCAGGAATGAACTGTTGCTGTGTTACAGCACAGGGCAAAAAGAAGTAACAGTGAAGAGCGGTGATTGAAAGGCGCGCGCCTGAGTTCCTATGCCCATGCAGTGTGCACTAGACCTTTGATTGCAGAGCCACATTGAGAATGGTGATAATTTAAATTTTATTCCGCAGACTCTGCAAGGGCACCAACAAATGATTGTAAGCAACCACATGTACACGTGCACACCAAAGGATAAGAGGCCTTCGAAGTAGCATACATGACTGTATTGCTGAATGTCGTTCTGGCATCACACAGTTGTAAAGCTACTCACTGTTGTCTGGTTGTACATCGTTTGACTGTTTAGAATGGTCTGCTTTTCTCGCACCGCGTACAGACGTAGTGCTCGGTTGAAGTACTGTAAATGCACACAGACACGACAAAGCCACACAACGAGAGACATGCATGTGCAAAGGAAAATGACGCCTTTCAAACAACATGAATAATCAACCATTGCCAATCCTCGTCTTGAAAAGCAAACAGATCTGAACAAGAGTGTGCCGTACCTTTGATCCCGTCCATCCGACAAGTGCGTATGCCCACTGCTTGTGTGGGCACACGATCAGGTCCACTCGACGTACGAAGTGCTTGCGTTTCGTCCACCATCTCATCTCGCCATCAGGTAGACTTCCATCTTTCGCTGCCAAATGATCATCATCATCAGCAGCAGCTGTGGGTATCACCGGTGAGGGTTTAGAGGCAGCTTGAATGCCAGCCTCGCCTTTCTCCTGCGACGGTTGTCTGTCAGCAGACCTCCCCTCTGCAGATGTTGCACATATAGCTGTGATAGTAGAGGCATGGCCAGTGGTGGTGGTGGTGGTCGTGGTCGTTACTGCAGCGTCAGATGCTGTCACGTAACGGGACAGGAGGTTATCCGTGATGTCAAGCATGCAGTATGCTTTGTCAAGATGATCCATCTTTTGTGTTCTGCAGTAAACGCACACATGGACATGAACATACTAAGTTACTAACATGAGCAGCACACACTACTGTTGCATGCATGAGCAACACTGCCGTAAACACATCCAATAGACTGGCTCACATATCGACGGTGCACACTGCGGTTAGGGCTAGAAACCAGAATGCCACCTCCAATGCTGCTCGCTATAAAGTTTGTATACTTGCACCATTTTACCACAATCATGTTGTACATGCTGGGGCCCATCAGGTGCCACCAGTTTGGGCTGGAACCTGTACATCTAATACGTGCACACCACTGTTTATTTATTTATTTTTTATTAAAAACTTAATACCTTTGATAGAAAGTCGTGTCTCGGTGGTAATGAGACGCAACTGATTTCTCCAGTTGGTTGCTGGTGTTCTTGCCGATGAAAAGCTCTGAGTGCACAAGAAGTCCCTGAAGATGAAAGGTGAGAGAGACAGGAGGCTGTAAGCTGGTGATCTGTATTACCCTATCAGCAAGAACGACATAACACGTGGGCATCTAACTCTGGTGTGACAAAGCACAACTACATGACTTGTCTGGTCCGACTCATATCTACAGTCCATTTCAAAAATATAGACGCACGGTATTCTTGAGATATTTCAAATTTGGCTGGAGCTTCTCGAGAAATGTTTTCGGAATATTGCTCAGGTCCTTCTTCCAATTACTCTCATGTCGATTCTTAAGTGATCAGACAACAAACACCCAATTTCGAAATATTTGTGCACAAAGTGATCACAGATTTTACGTGGGATAGATGCTGGCCTAAGGGCGCGTTCAGACTACCGTGAACCCCGTCAAACCGTGAATGCCGATAAACCGTGAAGGACATTCACACTACCGATAACAAACTAACGTTACCGTGAAGTTTTCAGCTCTCACCGCGGCACTGACAAGGGATTTTCCCTATTTTCCCAGCGCGCATGCAGCCTGAGCACTTTTTTTACTGCCGGTAAAAGTTTACTGCCGCAGCAGCCGCGGCAGTAAAACTTTCCCACCGGTAACGTGCCAGTAACGTCACGTGATCAAATCACCTTGGCGACTTTCCCAATCGGTCACTTTTTATCGGTAGTCTGAACGCGCCCTAACGGTTTTTTGAAATCACGCGTCTATATATTTGAAATGCACTGTAGAAAAAAAACTACACTTAGTACTTGAGAAGACGAGGAAGTGGGTCTGCTATTGCACAATATAGCCAGAGGAGTGGCTAACTGAAGCCAACTCTGAAAACGCTATGACGCGGTACCACGCAGCTCTTGTATTCCCCAAGACTTGACAAGTACCTGGCTTTCCAGCAGGATTCCATTGGTCAGTAAGAGCATACCTTACGTTGAAGTTTCTCGGTCAGCGTTTGTAAGAAGTCGGTCTCGTAGTCATCATTGGCATGATGCAGCAGAACATCAATGTCATGCCCTGATGGCTTGCCTCTGTATGCAGAGTAGATGGGAGAGGAGGAGAATACCAGCTGCAGGATTATGAAATCATTTTGAAAAAACATGAATTAACTTGGACAGAACACAAAATATATACAGGAGCAGGGTCAACAGATGACGTCAATAGTACCCCAGTCCGACATGGAATTTAGTAAGTTAGTTTGCGTTGGTTCTGGTGAACAAAAACGGATTTTGGGGTCCGAGAACGAGTGAATTCTCGCTCGATATATTTGCTAACATTACAAGCGTTTACCAAGTAGTGAGTATAATCCTTTCATCCCTACTTCAAAGTAAGAAATACAGCCGCTAACCTTCGAAACCCACCAGCCAATGTGGCTGTCATGCCCGTCGACAAGCTCTGTACCTAAACGATATGAAGTTGAACAAACAGCAAAGTTTTGCACTTGCATTTAGAGCTTTGAACACTGCAAATGCATAAGCACTTGACACCAGGAAATATCCTCATCCAGGCAATAGAAGTGTTATGAAGCCTGGAGCACACATAGTAAGTGAATGGCAGCCAGGGCAAGAGAGGTGCTAATACCGTAATGTCGCGTGCATAAGCCGGATTTGTGCATAAGCCTGTCTCGTGTAGAAGCATGAAATCTGCAACAGCTTTTCGCGTACAAGCCTGTCGCATGCATAAGCCGGGCCAGTACACGAGACGCGCCACGTGTCGCGTGCGTAAGCCGGGCTACTACGCAAGACTGGTGAGCGCGCCTTTTACATGTTCATGTTTGCATGGTACCGTACACTTGCACACGCGGAAAACGTGGGAAGATGCGGAAATCAACACCAGCTGCGCTCGACGGCCATGCAGCACTCTTCAAGCTTCAAACTTACCTTTCCCATGGCATTTTCCGTCTTGTCCCTTGGCAAGTTGCTTGTTTGAAGTTGGAAAATGTTGGTTTTGACGTCCAAGTCAGCAGTTTGCGCATACAAGCCTGGTCATTGAGTGGTGCTTGTCATATAAGCCTGTCTCGTGTATAAGCCTGTCTTGTGTACAAGCCTGACTCCATCACCGGCTTATAGGCATATAAGCCCCGGCTAATGCACGCGACATTACGGTATGTAGGGACAGCTACGACTATCATGGTGGGCTAGGCATTGCAAAAGACTTACTTCTTCTTCGATCAGAGAGCGCAGTGCTTCAGCTTCCTCCTGTGCGACTGGCACTTGAAGATAGTCATGGTATTCAAGACCTGGTAGCAGGGTGGAAGAAGCAGTGATGAATCATTTCCTTTAGTACTTCAAGTACATTGTATAAAAACAGGGTATCCCCACAGGTGCTGGATTTGTACGCTTCTGTACTAATAAACGTAATGGAGGGTATAACATTGCGCAGATCAACTTTGCCCCACTAATCCTACAGATTTCAACATGACTTATATAATGTACCGCATGCCAGTCAGATTCCAACATAAACTATACCATGTACCACCGGATGCCAGTGGTAGTGGAGAGGTCCACTACACTACTCCAGCACAGAACATGGCAATGCAAGTACTGTCTGTACGCAAGTGGAGGTGCAAGTAGTATGGCACGCAGCGCGCTGCACATCATCGCTTACCGACTTTCTGACGATCGGACAATGAGGCGCAGTCGTCACGTATGTCTTTGATGGTGCGCGCGCCTGCTCCATACCACTTGGCAGCACTGGCGGGTCCGCAGCCGTATACGCTGCTGAATGTCTGTACGCGCACAGTTCACATGAACAGAAATCAGGTGGTGTACATACAGATCGCTGGGCTGGAAATGACAGTGAATAAAATCACTTCAAAGAACAAGTATACGCACACGTCATCTCACCTGTACTCACCTGTAGGAAGTGAATGCACTTGTATTGTATTACTATTATAGAATGTCTTATTTTATAAATTATAGGCCATTTTTCAGGACTTCTATTCCCTTGCGTGATGGCATTTCCTTCTGTCCCACATGCATACTTCAGGTCATTGACAGGTACAGGTAGTGCCATGCGTCATAACATGTTCTGCTGGACTATTTAGCCGCCAGAGTAGAGAATCTCTTCAGCTGGATACTAACACAGGCAATGCAGTGACTATGCACCTGTGCCTTACAGCACACATCAAGTACAGCAGGTCCCTTGCGGAATTACACATCAAATGATGGTGGTATTATGCTTGAAAAACTGCACAACAAACCTTCAGCACTTGCAGTCTTGCGTTGTTTTCGTAGTCCTTCACTTCCTGTGAATAGCCATCCTTTAAAATGTCCTGTGTGACACAGCGAAAGATTTAGAAATGACGGTGGAGAGAGACAAATGTGTCAGCGCAGCACTAAGGGAATCAGGTATGCTTGGCATTCTCATTAAATAGACAATTATTTTCCAACAAGGACAATCCGGTGTGCCAGTCGCTCACCTCCACTACTTGCAAGCTATGTCGCCCAATGGCATCCAGGTTGGCTACTTGCTTTGCACTGGTAATTGACCTGCCAGTGCAAGCACAAACAAATAGTAAACATTACAGACACTGCATTCTGTAAATCAAAAGAGCGACATTAGCCTGGCAACTTGTAAAAAATGTTTTAGTGACGGACATGTTTCCGTTATCACTACACTGTAAGTGGCAAGCATGCACTACTTAGTACTTACCAAGCATGACATAAGTACTTTTTGGTCACACAACCCTCAAGAATCACGGGCTTCTCTTTGAATACACCCGATTTACAAATTGTGATCATACAGCAAGTGTCTGGTTTAACAGGAACTGATAACACACTTCAATTCCTCCAGCAGATACTAAGTAACCTGAACAAGCACGCCGGCGAAACGAACTTCAGGTATCTTCACTGGATCAGAAACCCAACAAAACAGCATCACTATGGAGTATGTACCCAGGCCACTGCTTGGGACTCTGGCAGCCGACGCCCTGTGACAGCTTTCGAATCTCATTATGGCCTTACTTGGGGTAGATCTTCAGCTTACAAGCAGCGCGGCGAAAAGCCAGAGATCTTGACCCGCGTGCTTCGCTGTTGTAGTCCAAGATCTCCCGAGCTTTCTCCAACGCCAGCAAGGCATCCTGTGACCAAGCCAAGTACAGTACCATGTTTATTGTTAGCATCTCGGATTTCTGTCAAACAGGGCTGACATACTTCAAGTGCATGTACTTCAAGTGAGGAGCTGTCTATTTGTCACGTCCAGAGTTTTAAAATCTCGTGAAGTGCGACTAACGACCCGTGGGACTGGCCTGTCATTTCGTCTTCCCCATTCTTGTGCAGTCATGCAAATGTAGGTTGGTTCTCTTCAGATTATTGCCTCGCTGCTTTCTCTCCTCTCTCCACTCACCCAAGCCATTCAGCATAAGCGAAGCTGTGGGCGCTGCATACTGCTCTTACACGTCAACGCGGAAATGCTTATAATAATACACTTTCATCCGTTCTACTTTGTACTTACAACAAATCTTTGGTTGTCTGGATTCACTGCTTTGAGCGGGGTAGCACTCAAGCACGCATAGTTAGTATCCTACAGGGAGAAAATCAGAACCAGGTTTGAGAGAATATGCCTAGGACAAAAAGGAAACTCACCAGTGCGTACAAGGAAGACGACTGTCCTGATCTCTACACTACACTGCAAGAAATGGTAAAACCCATCAGAGTCATCAGCAGGTGTAGACCAGCTTCTTCCACAGTTTCAAGGTTCAACCATGCGCCCAGTGTAAAACTGTCACGGCATACCTCAAACGCATGAGAATCATCTTGACTTGTTCCGGCCTCATTGTCCTCACCAGTCATTGGTCTGCAGTAACAAAGAGAAGAGCCTCATCTACTAAGTTAGTAAATCATTACGAGAGATAGGTATGCAGGCGCCCTGAGCAGCAATAGTCAGACTAGCGGTGTGACTTTGACAGCACTCGTGCACTAAAGGAGTAATACAACGTGCCTGTACAAGGCATGGAGTAATATCTTCAGCCGTCTGTTTCTCTGTAGGCACATGCTTCTAATCTCTGCGGCAGAGATGCCACAACGCGACTGCTTCTCAAGCTTTGGCTGGTAGACGATAACACCAGCATGGATTTCTCAATACAAACCTGCGCATGCAGTCAAAATCTCAGCCGTCTTTTCAGTCAATACACGAACTGGGAAGGCTGGCTAAAGGGTTAGGTAGAACATGGCTCTAATGTACTCGCCATCTGCAAATGAAACTAGGTTAGCAAGAAAGACTCCTGAGTTACAATGAGTAGCCTCACTTCTTATTGGGGCAAGCAAGATCTCTGAAAGCATCATTCGCCAATGGCCGTCCAGCAGCTAAACTAGAGGTGAGCCCTATAGCACAAAAAAAATGGACATTTGTGCGAATAGGAATAGTGGCTTCTCGACCAGCTGCAGTAATGGAGCATTGTGTAGTCATGCTCAACGAAATCCGGAGCCATGAATAGATCAGCGACCTGCGCCAGTGCATACTAGAACAGAAACACTGGCAACAGACGATCAGAATGAAATCGCTAAATGTACTCGGTGCTATCCAGTTTGCCACTTTACAGGGTTCCTTGTACTGTCGTGGACATGGAAATCCGGTCGCACGTCTAGCGGCTCCAGGGTGCTGGCCGTGCAGCCGCGGGTAAGCAGTACACGCTAGTGTCTTCGGCCTCAACATCGCTGTGCACACTGCATGCATGCATGCAACGTTCTGTACGCGCTGAGGGCGCCGGCCCCGGGCAATCGACTGGATTTCCATGTCCACTACACTCTACAGTGCTACTTGTAGGGTACAGCAGGAAGGCACAGGGTAGGTACGTCCAAGACCATTGTTGAGAAACAAAGGCTACCAGGTCCAGCCTAGTGGCAGAAGGATTATTCGGACTATGCTGCTACATGTACCTCCAGACAGTCGAGACAATCAAGAACCTGGGAACAGGCAAAAAGCTAACAAATAATAGCATGTTGGATCTCATCTTCGACCTACAATATCATGCTGCTAGTGGCCGAGCCGAAGCAACGCCACACCAGTGTACATCACAACTACCAGGTACTTACATGAAAGAGTTAGAACATCCGCTGCACACAGTGGACTGTGGAAGAGAAAAGCATACAAAAGCTCATGCCTGTCAAAGAACAATACAGACAGAGAGAGAGACAGTGAACAGCAAGCAAGTGATTGAGCTAGACTACAGTAGAGAAAGCGCTGTGATATCAAAGAGCAGTATTAAAGGCCAAAAAATGTGAAGAGTGGGAAATCATCTTTGAGTAGGTCATACCTGTCTTTGAACTCGCTGGCAGCACGCTCTGGATCTAGGTTGGTAACAACATGAGTGACATCATCACTGTGCAAGGAAAGTTGAAAACAGCCGCATACAACTAGTTCAGTTGACAACGACTTTCCCAGACCACTGGAACATAAAATTGAAACGGAAATGAAAGATAAAGTCAAAAGAGCGAAAGGAAATTTCCCGAATCGCCAAAGTCTACTGCTGACACTACTGTGTGAAGTAGTGGGATTGTTGTTGCTGTTGTCGTCACAGCCAGATGCACAAAATTATTTTAATACGGTTTTATTATACCATCAGGTACACGTGATAGAGAGTGCACTCAGGATGTCAAGACCGAATGGTAATCGGCGCTGCAAGTGTGCATCGTTGCAGATTTTAATTGTCACAACTATACATGTACAGTGCTGGCAACTGACATGCGACTCCCTGCCGCGCCATCCAGGGGGTCGCATGTCAGTTGCCAGCACTGTACATGTGCAACAAAGCGGCCTTCAGTTCACCAATCCCTCTGCATGTCACTGCACCCTGCTTCTGCTAATGCAAAGTTTGGCGCGTAGCTGGCCTTTATCTGTGAAGCACCAAGCAATTAGGAGTCGGTGTGAGTCTTGGCTCATGTTGTCTTGTCTTGAGACCGGGTACACCCCACAATGCCTGGCGTTGTCTTGTCTTGAGACCGGGTATTCCCCACTATGCCTGGTTCTGCTTGCGAGTTGTGGCTTCGCCAGACCAATGGTGCTATTCCACGGGCCTTGTTTCTCATGTACCCTACTGTATGCAGCAATCAACTCCACTTGCACCGAATGGTGATGTCTAATGTCAACGTGGCGACTATTACATCATGATTTTCATCGATCAATCTTGCCATGTACGCTTTTCACTAAGACTAGCATGCACAAACCTGGCCAGGGTGTGCAACTCCGACATCAATGCTGCATAATACCCATCCAACGCCAACGGTGACGTTTTTTTGTTTAGGTCATCCTGAATCATTTAAAAATCCGTTGTACTGTAGGTTCAGTGCTAAATCACCGCATCACTAAAGTGATAACGGGAAATTTGCATGCATATTTCACCTTTTGTACAAGCAGCAATGTGCAACCGAAATTACCTGGATGATACGGGGAAGTGACCAGGTGATATGTGAACCGGTGTGAGGTGCGGCAAAGGTGAGTCACTACGAGTAGATCCACTCGTATGACCTAACCAAAAAAAACGTTGCCGTGGGATGATTTTGCCGGAGCTGCACACTCTAGTTTATGTACTCTTGTCTTCACCAAATGTGAAATGAACGTTGTGAAAGTCTTCGTCAAGTGGCGTAATTAAAGGGGAAGTTAAGGCAAAAATTAAAATTTCACCAGTTGTAGTCTTCGGGGTGCTGAGTCGAATGGTCGTGGTCCGAGGAAGCTGAGACGCTCCCTTCCTACTTGAATCCCAATCGAACTCGCGCACTTCCACCGAAACTGGGTGACTGCGCCCTACTAGATGGGGTTTTGTATGCAAAATGTCACTAAAAGCGCCATTTCGTTCTTATAAAAGCACGGATGACCGCGATTGGCCCATATGTTGTAGTCTTTTGGACGCTGAGTCGACTGGTTTTGGTCCGAAAAGGCTGCGATGCAGCGTTCCTCCTTTATTCCCAATCGAACATGGTTGAACAAGCGGTCACGTGCTCCTGCGTACGCCAGTCACCTGGTCACCGTGCCTGCAGGGTACAACTTACTAGCCTGTTTGACCTTTTTTGGGTGCAGTCCTGTCCCTCGAGTTGAACCTTGGTGTGAAAGTTGTCGCCTTCTGGCGTGGTGACCAGGTGATTTGGGCACCCAGGAGCACGTGACCGCTTGTTCAACCATGTTCGATTGGGAATAAAGGAGGAACGCTGCATCGCAGCCTTTTCGGACCAAAACCAGTCGACTCAGCGTCCAAAAGACTACAACATATGGGCCAATCGCGGTCGTCCGTGCTTTTATGAGAACGAAATGGCGCTTTTAGTGACATTTTGCATACAAATCCCCATCTCGTAGGGCGCAGTCACCCAGTTTCGGTGGAAGTGCGCGAGTTCGATTGGGATTCAAGTAGGAAGGGAGCGTCTCAGCTTTCTCGGACCAAGACCATTCGACTCAGCACCCCGAAGACTACAACTGGTGAAATTTTAATTTTTGCCTTAACTTCCCCTTTAAATTAATAATTATGCTGTGTAAGTAGTGTGATTCGAATTATCGATAAAATCATGTCGTAGAAAATGCTATGCATGTACTTAGTACCTGGCTGTTTCTGAGACGCGCAGCCCCTGTCGACGGCAAGAATCGGTCACCAGTTTCCGCTGCCCGGTGGAGATTTTCTTTGGGTAGATGTGAAGGTGAAAATCTTCCCACGGAGAGTCCGACTCTTGATCTTCCGACTCTTGATCTTCCGATAAATGCGACCTCGTCCGCTTCATTCTTGGTGAAACAGATATTCTTCAGCTGACTGCATACGAAAGACCAGCTCCTGCAGCATTCTGTGTGTTCTATTTCTCGGTTCTTCCTCTCGAAAGAGTCGGAGGAATGCTAGCCTTGGAGAACACTAAGACAGGAAAACGATCGCAACGAGGAACAATACATAGAATTTAGAAAGCAACGAACTACTTGTTGATTGAAGACTCCACTGTGACTTGTAGTCCTGGAGCCAGGTCCAGAAATCTGACAGTGTCATTTGACACCTCGTCCAGGAAAGATTTGACTTCAAATTCGGAGAGGCGGACCAACTATAGGAATTTTGGAGAAAACTAGAAGTTCCCAATGTTGTCCGTTTGGAAGTTATGAGCTATTTCCAAATTGCTTAGGTTACTATGGTAACTTGTGTGCAATTAGCCGTTTCTGAGGCAAAGCCGGTACAATTTTGGAGAAAAAGTTATCTTGTTGGAAGGCGAGCTCTTTCCAAGACTATTATTGAAAACCAGAAGTTTATAGGACTGTTGGCTTCCTTGTCACAGGAATTTCTCGAATTTCTACGGTTGCCGTGGTAACGTGTATGCAATTAGCCACTTCTAAGCGAAAATCAGTGATTTTCTCCCCTGTAGGCAGGTGGAAAGCAGAGAATAGTTATAATATTGTGGCTTAGAGGTCTATTGGGCTGTTTCATGCCTGGTTTGTAGAGCTGGAGACTGGGCTCCTCTCCCCTCTAACACTACCGCAGTACCGGGATTGCATTGACCTGGCACTTGTTTCCTCCCTTCCTTCACATAATACAATGTACATGTAGTACCCAGACAGCGGTGTGCTATGTTGACAGGATTGGTCACCATGATCCACTACTAGTACTTTCCACCCAATTCACATTTTCTTTTTATGGAACAATGTCATCATGGTCATGCAGGCTGTCCGATCGACATGTGCATGTTTAGGAAGCACCGTATTGCCCATGAAATACAGTCATCTACATGTGCATGTAGACCGGGGCGGGGGCCTACGCCAAGACCTGGAAGGACAATTTTGATCAACGAGATGGCTAATAGACAAACAACTGCCCTAATAACCGCAACATGCAACAAACTCCGCCACATATTCCGTGCTCATGTGTCATCCTTCAGCAACTCACAGCAAGCATTTACACAGGAAGGTCTGGTCACATCCCTCTGATCAAGCAACAGTTTCAAAACAGTCCCGGACTGACCCCATGGCCCATGGGGCAGTGACCTCTCCTGCTACCTAGCCGAGCCACTATGAATTCTACACCTAGTACCAAGAGTGTATAACCGGGGAGTTATAACTCTTGCTAGTACCTGTACCAGTGCATGTGGCATCATTTCCAGCACTCACAGATACATGTACATGTACAATCATGTACATGTACGTGTGCAGCAGTTGTTCACCATCCAACTCGGCTACAAGTGATGCAAATACAGTACAGTACCTGATGCCACAGATTATCATTATTATTATACTGCATGTCCATGTACATCGAACACCCTGGATGGTTTCACCTGTATACAATCATGTTAATTTGGAGACAGCTATGGCCATATAATACTGACTACTCTCAACTCCTACAAGCCATATCTCTTGCCAATTGTCAACGTATTGGAGAAAATCGTTGATCGGCAGGTTGTGGAGTTCTTAGTGACAATAGTGAGGTTTCTGCCCTGCCATGGAGCAGTTTGCATACTCCGATCTCTCTCGTCTTCTAAGTCCTGGCATCTCCGTGGGATATGAGAAGGGAACTGGGTGTGTTTGGTTGAACGACTATACATGTGCATGAAGTACATGTATACATGTAATACATGTATACATGTATACATGTACATGTAATTTAAAAAGCACACCAGTAACAACAACAATAACTATAATGAATACCACAACAGTGTCCTGGACATGCACTTCAGTTCAGTACATTGTACAATGTACATGTACATGATTGTACACCTTACAGTACTGGCCTCTTTTACGGGCAAGATGATTCTTTGGATGTGAAAAGAATGCAGTTCGTGTAGTCATGTACATGTACATGTACATGACAAAACATACAATGACTATGTAGTTTGGTTGCCAGCATGTTACAAGCTACATTGTACATGTAGGCGGAGGATGCACTGAGTCTGTGTTCGAAAACAGTGTTCCTTATGACCTTACTACAACCTCCACGGTTGGCATAGCCCTGGTCTTGCGACCGGTCGACCATTTGAACTACATGTATAATGGGGCTAGCCCCAGTTCTAATACATGTATATGCTAGGGAATTGTTTGAGTCTTCTTGTTTTTGTTTTTGCTATCAGTTGTGTTTCCTTGCTCGTTCTTGGATGTCAGTCCTGCCTAAATCCTCTTGATCCTTTTGTGTGGATCCCGGCACTAAATCAGGAGAGAGGGGTCCCGTCTCTACAAACCAGGCTTGCAACAGCCCAATAGACCTCTAAGCCACATTATTATAACTATTCTCTGCTTTCCACCTGTCTACAGGGGAGAAAATGCACTGATTTTCGCTTAGAAGTGGCTAATTGCATACACGTTACCGCGGTAACCGTAGAAATTCGAGAAATTCCTGTGACAAGGAAGCCGACAGTCCTATAAACTTCTGGTTTTCAATAACAGTCTTGGAAAGAGCTCGCCTTCCAACAAGGTAACTTTTTTCTCCAAAATTGTACCGGCTTTGCCTCAGAAACGGCTAATTGTACACAGGTTACCATAGTAACCTAAGCAATTTGGAAATAGCTCATAACTTCCAAACGGACAACATTGGGAACTTCTAGTTTTCTCCAAAATTCCTATAGTTGGTCCGCCTCTCCGAATTTGAAGTCAAATCTTTCCTGGACGAGGTGTCAAATGCAACTCCTCAATAAAGCGACTTTTTCGGACTTGGCCCCAGCACTATTGTGAGATAAGAGACTCTCTACGGAAATCTATGTGGGGTCGGGGCTCATGCAGCAAGCTAGCTAGCTCAGCATCTTCATCTTCGTCTTTTTTTTCAAAAAATTTCTCCTACCACATGTGCACAGTGTTGTTACGGCAACGGCCGCGGTAAATACCGTATTATCTCTTGGGCCGTGATCGTTTGGTCGGATCCAGATCCAGATCCATCGGATCCACTGGATCTGCAATGATCGATTGGTCGAATCCGGATCCAGATCCTTCGGATTTGGATCCGAGCAACCCTGCCCCGGGAGCAGGGTTGACTGGATCCATCGGATCCAAATGTGACCTTTGTGCGTATATGGTGGGTAAAAATCATTTTTATACTCATTGTCGTACGTCTAGTGGACTTTTGTAAATTGTTGACTTTTCGTACGACGCGGGCGATCAGTATGACTTGTGCCTTTTTTGGGTGACCTGTCAGCGCCATTTTTTACTTCGTCAACATGGCAACAGCCAAGGTCCGCAAAAAAGTGTTTGGTTGATTCTGAAGGATCCGACGGATCTGAGATTTGGATCTGGATCTGGATCCGACCAAACGATCATAGCCTAAGGCACGGTCCTTTATTTTTTCAATGCACCTCCGCCCCGTGCTATTAAAGGGGAAGTTAAGGCAAAAATTAAAATTTCACCAGTTGTAGTCTTCGGGGTGCTGAGTCGAATGGTCTTGGTCCGAGAAAGCTGAGACGCTCCCTTCCTACTTGAATCCCAATCGAACTCGCGCACTTCCACCGAAACTGGGTGACTGCACCCTACTAGATGGGGATTTGTATGCAAAATGTCACTAAAAGCGCCATTTCGTTCTTATAAAAGCATGGATGACCGCGATTGGCCCATATGTTGTAGTTTTTTGGACGCTGAGTCGGCTGGTTTTGGTCCGAAAAGGCTGCGATGCAGCGTTCCTCCTTTATTCCCAATCGAACATGGTTGAACAAGCGGTCACGTGCTCCTGCGTACACCAGTCAGCTGGTCACCGTGCCTGCAGGGTACAACTTACTAGCCTGTTTGACCTTTTTTGGGTGCAGTCCTGTCACTCGAGTTAAACCTTGGTGTGAAAGTTGTCGCCTGCTGGCGTGGTGACCAGGTGATTTGGGCACCCAGGAGCACGTGACCACTTGTTCAACCATGTTCGATTGGAAATAAAGGAGGAACGCTGCATCGCAGCCTTTTCGGACCAAAACCAGTCGACTCAGAGTCCAAAAGACTACAACATATGGGCCAATCGCGGTCATCCGTGCTTTTATAAGAACGAAATGGCGCTTTAGTGACATTTTGCATACAAATCCCCATCTAGTAGGGCGCAGTCACCCAGTTTCGGTGGAAGTGCGCGAGTTCGATTGGGATTCAAGTAGGAAGGGAGCGTCTCAGCTTTCTCGGACCAAGACCAATCGACTCAGCACCCCGAAGACTACAACTGGTGAAATTTTAATTTTTGCCTTAACTTCCCCTTTAATGGAGACGTTCCTTTATTGGAGACTGTTCCTTTAATATTTCAACCTCATTTCAGAGGCATGTTGCCATGCCAAATTCATGTCAGACACACACATTTCAGGGGTTTTTCGCCGGTACAGATAATGAATGTACACAGTGTGCTTATAATGGAGACTGAGCACTTTATTTTTTGAATGCCGCCCCAAGGTGTTCTATTATTGGAGACGTGCTATTATTGGAGACTGTGCTTATATTAGAGATAATACGGTATACAAAATTTCGGCGCTGCAAAATTTCGGCACTTCACGATTTTTGACATTTCGGCGGAGATTTATTTTCGGCGTGGGGTAGAGGGCATGGTATAGTGCGACAGATGCTGTGAAAAATTTCACCGGCGTTTTAATTTAGGCGTTTTGGGTCGGTGCCGAATATAGCCGAAATTAAATAGCTGCCGTATATTTACAGTACGTGTTGTACAGTCATGTCCCCTGATAAACCCGTACTCACCCCCAGGCTCCATGTAGTACCGACCCGTAGATCTACACATTTCATAACCTCCATATTTGTACCATTTCCCCAC